ACATAAAACTACACGTTCGCCTAAACCAATATTTTTTAGGAGGACAGTTCAGATAGGTCAGTAGATAAAATACCAGTAATATAACACACTTTTGACTCTGAAATCCCTAAAACTCATGAGCTTGGTCAAGTCGTAGGTCATTGAAGACCTTTCGTGTAAGAAACTCACTCCATTCATTTATATTTACTTCGAGTAGGACACTAAATCGACGCAAGGTGATATGAGAAGCGAGAAGGCGACTGTTGACTGGGACGAGACAGCAGAAGTCCAAATGTAGCTATCATCCAGCTAACGAGCCGAGATCTGTTGCTGTTCTGGTGTCCGATAGTTAAGATGTCGGTGGGAAGCGAGATAAAAACCACAACCTATTTTCATGTCTCAAATTCAAATTAAATCAATAAATATTACAGTTTTTTTCCACAGACTTTTTCGTGCAGAGACTGAGATGAGTTTAACTAAATACAAAAAAAACTAAATAGAGACGAAAGTTGGCTTTCTTATGAAATAAATATTTAGATTGGATAAAAGCATACAAATGAACAAAAAAGGCGGGATTTAATACGTATCGCGGAGAATATTTCAAACCGACAGTTTAGTTTGGCCAAAACTTCAGTGCGCACGGACGGGTCGCTACTAGCCGAACAATGGAACAAAAACAAAACATACGGGTTCCGGTTTATTAGCAGTGCTGGGGGGTAGGGGTGAGTCACAAAAGTACCCCCGCCAACCCCACCCCCCCCCCCCCCACCCCCGCCAACCCCCTCGCCTAGACACGACCGGATTCGGCCGTGCGCACAGAAACTTAGGCCGAACTGTACCACATGCGTAAAACTAGACAGGTTTAGATCCAATGTGTAGTCAAAGATCATAATCACAACCTCCTTAGACAGCTATTTCCATTAAAATTCATTTGGTACACATACAGATTAATAAAACAATTCGACACACCCTCTGCCACAATTTCACCAAACGCTTTCTGTACACCTAACTTCAAAACCTTAGCCAAACACACAGTGTACGCCAATGTCTCTATAATCATTCGAGTCTCCCTATTTGTATGGCTTCCCAAAACATCATTAAACACACATTTTACTAGAACTTCGCCAAATCGTTTACCAACAAACACATTACCAAATGGATTAGTCACCTCTTCACCAAAAAACCTTCTTTTGAGCATCCATTACTCTATTATAAACCCCTCATAAAACCTCCGTTTTTAAACACCAGTCATCCAAACCTTCACCAAACCCTCCTTTTTATCGTCCGTTATTCTAAACCCCCACTAAACCTCCATAAACAACTGTCACCAATACCTTCACCAAACCCTCCTTTTGAGCGTGTGCCAACCCCTTCTTTTCAGCATCCGTTATTCTAAGTCCTTATTAAACCTCCCTTAAACAATTATCGGCCAAACCTTCGCCGAACTTTATTTTATAACGTCCGTTATTCCACACCCTATAACAACACACCGCCGTGGCTGCATCAACAGTTGCAACAGAGCGAAAGTGCCAACATGTTCGCATCGACGCATTTAAGGGTCTTTTTGAACCAAGGACAAACCCAAGTCTGGCGCAACTTGGAGGAATCATTTACCATTTAGTAGTCGACGTGTCTTCAGTCTCATAATGCCAACATGATTCAGCTAAACTGAAGCGGTCGGGGTCAAGCAACAGGGGTTCCCTGAGCCAACAGTCATAGTTGTTACATCCACATTAAGATATTAGGGTTGTTTACCAAAATCCGAAAAGATTTTATATTGATTGTAAAATTAATTGAGGGGATAAACATATAATTTTGTATCGATAAAAATCATACTAGATACAAGTTTTCCATTTAGATTCGGTTATAACATTTGATCGGGGGGGGGGGGGGTTAGATCGGGAAAACATTTGTTTCAACCATTCACTGAGTAAACATAGAACACTCATAAGTGATAATTGTAGTGTTCTTCACAACTCTAAAAACATGATATTCATGTTTCAATATATTTCGTCTATATTAACAACCATCGTCCATTAAAGGGAGGAAATGAAGGTTGCGAGTTGGAACATTCTTACACCACGACAGACTAATGGAGTTAGAAAAAAGGAAATATACAAGGCCACCAATACGCGACCTTGGGAAAAATATTTGAAATTACTACAAAATGAAATAATATGGGTAATATCCCTACTTTTTGTTTCAAAACAAATTCCCCAAAACTAATTTCCAGTTGTTATCTCTAGCTTCTGGTGGTTTGACAGAGCAACGACACAAGCAGCTCTATTGACAGCGAAGAGCCGCTAAAGAATGTATGTTTAAACTGGTTTATCAACATGCATGCATGGGAAATTGTTATTTACTTCCAACTTCAAACCCATGGGGCCTGTATCTATTATAAAACTAACTGATGGAATAACATCTCTGTGGATACACTTCATCCTTAACTCCTCGTGTTAAAAAAATTAGTATAAATAATTGGGTTTAAATATACTTCATCGGACTGTTTGGACGACATTTTTAAAAACGGGAAACCTCCTGAAAAGTTCTAATTCACTAGAAATAATCATTGCCAAATTCCCATCGGTAAAAATTTGGTAATATATATAATATTTCAATCATGTTTTTTTACTCCGTTCAAACAAACGATGCCTTCCTTCCCCTTCACCCTAACTTGGAAACAGCAGTCGACAGATGATCAGCTGATGTAGGTGATACCCTATACATTACGCTAAAAAAAGTGGTGGGGGCCCAGAAACCTTCCTCTTAAACCGCCTAAATTTTGTGAACTGACTAAAGATATGCTCTGCGTGTTCGCTCATCGTTCAAAGTATCCAAAATCCCTTAGCACGATCTAGAATTTATTTAGTAAGCAGATACCAGCGTACGGCTGCTAATAGAGAATTATCCCCCAATCTGTGACTGTGATACATAATTAAAACTGCGTGTGAAACCGTTGAAATTCTAAAAATATATTTTCAATACCATTAAATAGAGATTACAAATTGGATAAAGATATATTTTTAATGAATTGCGTTGGTCAAATAGGAAACATATCTGGAGAACAAATCATATGTCACGCATATCCTATGTCTTGTGGGAGATTAAATCAAAACCAAAACACGGAAATCGAAAAGGTTCGTGGTAATTCCTTATCCATACGAAAATCGTCAAATCATTCTTAATTATGGCTCAAAATTTAGTTATAAAAATTCTCTTTTCGGGTTTGTTTACATGAAATCCCTATAAATAAAATAATATCATTTTAGCGAGTTTCCCAAATAGGGAATAAGCTATTTTTAAAATTTCGTTCACAATGTACAACTGTTTTAGTCTAATGTTGAGCTTTGATTGTTTCGCAACATTTGTATTGAAACCGGCTTTATGTAGCAACCCAAAGATAAAGATTTGAATAATCCATCTATATCCAGACGCCAAATTAATTTTAAAACAGTTACGTCTAAAATACGGGTTACTGACTATAGGAAGAGACCGCAAACCATACTAAATACTTAGTGATACAATTAGCATGATTGTTAACAAAGCAAGAGCTCCAGCCTGCACACAGTTCGCACAGCTGTGGGTGCCGTGTTGTATCGCTAACTTGTAGGAACATACACACAACCTTTGTGTTCATTTCGTGATAACATACTACAAAAGAAGTTTTCTAAATATAAAAATCTGTATTTACAATGCATTGTTTAGCTAATACGGAAGAATTAATACAAGGCAACACATTCTATAGCACTTTAAATTGTAGTATGTATCCTCCCCTCACTCCATAGAAGCCAAAACCACGGCATAGAAGAACAAAATGATAGTCACGAAAAGTGTTTGATGACAAGGATTGTTTAAGAAGTAAAAGAAAATTGTTTGGAACAAGTTTAAACTAATAAATATAATTCCTTTAACACTTTTTTTGCTTCATAATGGAATTGGACGTTTTAGCTAATTCAGGTGGCTTTAAAATACCGCCTCTAATAGACACCATAATTGTAATTGATGTAGTTTCAAGATTTATTTCGGCCATAAGTTGTTTACAATAGGCCTTGTCTAACATGTTGAACATGTACAGAAGTCAAAATGTTTGTTGAACAACCCCATATTTACTTTTCAATAGATACTCTCACACAAAACATCTTGAACCTTATGAACCTAGTCCCTTCCACTTCAACTATGGTTCTAGCAAGCAAAAATGGACTAATGGAAGCTTGAAATAAAACTGATTAATAAACAAGTAGGCTATACAATAAAATGTAACTAGTCTAATTTTTTAGTTTGACTTTTGGAATGTAAATATCCGATTTTCGCCCCCTTGAATAAAAAAAGGTGGCTTTTGAAGTGATGTGTGGATATCTACAGAGCTACAGACTGCAAGTGTGATCAGATTTTGAATTTGGTATGTGGCTACTATTCCACCGCTGTTTGCTTTAAATGTTAAACCTAAAACTTTTTTAATGTTAATTTTCAATGGTGGACATTTTGGTCTTGATCTGAAACATTATGCCGCGTAGTTAAGTTTGATCTTTTCGAAAACACGATGCAGCACTACTGTGAACAACTCCATTAGGTGATCAGTTCTCTTGACTGTGTGTGTGAGTAGGGAGAATGGAGCTGGTCACGGGGAAACGGGAAGAAACTGATGCGGCGAGGGAAATTTCCCTCAGTCCTATTGTCGTACCCCCGAAACTATCGGCATAGCTGCCCCTGCAGACCCAAGCTCGACTGAGTCAAATTTTGTCCTGTTGTCACACCACAAAAACCCGATAAAATAACGGGAAATCTGATTTTCACAAAATCTCCTCTAACGACTTTGATTGAAATTTAGTATGTTACAGTCCTTTGAACTCCAAACAATACTGCACAGCCCCCAACACTGTAAAATTTACAGTTAAAAAGTGTATGCACCATTTGTGATATCCCACCATACGATTTCATAAGAAATGCACAGCTACAGACTACGCCTGTGATAGATTTGGTTATGTCAGTTAGCTTCTAGTGTTATGTACTGTTTGTCTCAGGATGAGGGTGGTCTGGAGTGTAGTGTATTTCTGCTCCTGGGTAGTTCTGGAGGTGAACTGTCAGAGTTTAGCAGGACTACTCAAGTTCCTGGGTGAGGGGATCCAACATAGCAACAAGGAGCCTCGAGACTACAATACCTTCCTCAAGGAGTACGACTTCATCATAGTAGGCGCAGGATCAGCTGGGTGTGTTGTCGCCAACAGACTGACTGAGGTAACAGAAAATAATATGGCTAGTATGCCTTTAACAGAGATAAAAAATTGCCTGAGCCAAGTGTGGTGTGTAGGAGAGCACGATTATTAGTGGTTGTGATCAGTGTTATGTAGAGTAGTAAACACCACATAACTGACATCCGTTAATCTCAAATCTTGAATCATTGAAGGTATTCTCTACAAAACTTAATGAACTTTGAAGAGTTATATTTCTTAAAATTAATTCTCATATTAACTCATAGCTGATGTAGTCAGCCGCTCAAAGTAATATTACTGTCGTGGTAAAATCCTTCAGTGTGTACGGCTAGTTAATATAATTTACTTGTAAGTTAATTTACTTTATGTGAATTTCTATATTTTTCCCCAGAACCCCGACTGGAAAGTTCTTCTTATAGAGGCTGGAATGGAGGAGAACTACTTGATGGATATTCCCATCGTTGCTAACCTTTTACAATTTTCTGATGCCAACTGGAAGTATACCACTATTTCCTCCAACTCATACTGCCTCGGTAAGTCATTTCATCTCAACTGCCTGTCACTATAGAAAACTGATCTCAATTTGTTGAAGTAAAATGTAACTTACCTTTTAACACTACAATCAATTTAAATCTGATTTTAATTAATTGCCTGGTAACATCACTTTGTCTGTTCCAATATTTTTCCAGTTTTATTTTTATTTTTGATATTTTTTTACAAAAATAACAACTATTAAATGTAAAGGGAAACATTATGCAAGAGGAGCTATGTAACTTTATATATATTTTATACATTGTAGACCCAATAAATATTTTTCCTGGAGTACTTGCAAGAAACAAATACTTTCAAAGTGTTAATTGTTTCAAAAACTGAGCACATTAAGAGAATTGTTAGCTCCATAAATTAAGTGAAAGTGTTTTGGGGCACACCCTTCATTTCCTAATGCCCAGCCCTAGTTAATTACTAAAACATATTTGGTGAGGACTACTCCAGTCAAATCGAACAGGTAAACATGAAGATAGGATTAACTTATATTTGTACCGGTAATCATTTTATGACTTCATAGAAAAACAAAATTGCGTGAAAAATTATTTAAAGTCAAAAGTAATTATGAATTGTAAATACAAACAAGTAATACAGTTTGAAATTTTGGATAAGTAATATTTTTAAACTAACTATGTAAATTTAAGCCTCCTCTTAAATTTAAATCTTCACAATCCAAGCATTCACTAATCTAAATGTCTCTTGGATGCACGCAGACAAGTTAAAAAAATAATCACCTCTATTGGGATAAAGCTTATTAAAAACCCTTTTTTTGTATCATGATACCATATTTTGTTTAATGTAACATCCACCGTTTATATACTGTAATATTCTATGTTTGCTACCAGTAACAATGTAAACACTTATAATTAATTTAACTTAGTTTTTAGTTTTATACACACTATTATGTAGGCTACACACACTATAATTTTTTTATATCACAACTCCTGATTTTTTTAAGATTGATGAGGGTTAACTATATTTATTATTAAAGTTGGTTTGGTTTAGTGTTGTTTGTGAAGTAAAGCAAAAACATATAAATCTTTTGATTTTTCACCAGCTGCCAAAGATTATCTCACTAAATATTTAGATGTTATCAAAGTTGTATGTTTTAGCGATGGACAAACATCGGTGTAAAATCCCTCGAGGCAAGGTGATGGGAGGCAGCAGTGTACTAAACTACATGATCTTCACCAGAGGCAACCGTCGAGACTACGACTACTGGGCGGCCATCGGCAACAAAGGGTGGAGCTACAACCAAGTCCTTCCGTACTTCAAAAAGTCAGAGGACATCGTCATCCCAGATATGATGGAAGACACAGTTTATCATCACCGCGGAGGTCCTCTCACTGTCAGCAATCCTCCCTTCCGTTCTCCCCTCGGCCAAGCCTTCGTACAAGCTGGTCTAGAGACTGGACAGCGATACGTAGACTACAACGGAGCTGTGCAGTCTGGCTTTGCTTATCATCAGGTATTGAATAAAATCGGGTAAAACGCTTACTTTGACAGTTGTCTTTTTTTGGCCATCAAACAATTTCTCTCTAATTTTTTTAAAACTCACGATGAGCCTTCATGAAATTCACTCTATTTTTAACAGCCAATTATGGGTCGGTATATAATGGTAAAGCCTAACATTTTTTTAAAGAATACAGTAATACTACAATACAGAATCCAGCTTTTGAGAAATTTAGTTTGAAAAACAAACAATGCATGAACAAGGGTGTGTAAAAATGGTGTTCTTGATAGTTAGTAGAAGCTTGTTTGAAAACATGTTAAGGTTATACAGTATTAAACACTCTAAACAAAATTTGTAGTAGATTTTGTCCACAAATATATTGTATGATATAACATTTTGTTATCTGTTTCAGGCTAGTATGAAAAATGGAACACGATGGAGCACATCACGAGCATTTTTACATCCCATCAACAACCGTAAAAACCTTTTTGTAACAAAGAATACTCAAGTGACCAAAGTACTCATAGATCCCACGACAAAACAAGCCTACGGAGTCGAATTTGTCAAGAACGGCCGCAAATACTTTGTTCGAGCTCGTAAGGAAGTTGTTCTCAGTGCTGGTGCAATCAATTCTCCACAACTCCTGATGTTGTCTGGAGTAGGACCTAGGAAACATCTGCAGACCTTTGACATCCCTGTGATACAGGATCTACCTGTGGGAGAAAACTTGCAAGACCACGTAGCTTTGGGTGGGCTAACCTTCTTGGTAAATGACTCTGTGAGTATAAAGGTGGACAGAGTTCTTGAAAATCCTAGAACTGTCAACAACTTTATCAACTACCACAAAGGCTGGCCTTCCATCCCAGGAGGTACTGAGGCCATCGGCTTCTACGACCTGCAAGACCCCGGCAATCCTGACGGTTATCCAGACCTAGAACTACTCTTCATTGCCGGGACACTCTCTGCAGAGCCGACACTCAAGAAAAACTTTGGCATATCAGACACTATATACAACTCTATGTACAGAAGCACGGAGAAAATGGACGGCTTCATGATCTTCCCGATGGTGCTTCGTCCCGGTAGTAAAGGGTCTGTCAAGCTGCGTTCAAAGAATCCATTCCACAGTCCAGTCATAGACATGGGCTACTTCACCGATCCTGCTGACCTCGACGTATTGGTCGCAGGAGTGAGGAAGTCACAGGAACTAGCCAAGACAAGAGCGTTCAAGAAGTACAACGCACGTCTACTCAAGTCAGTCATCCCCGGATGCAGACAGTTCAAGTTTGACTCGGATGACTACTGGAAGTGCCACGCTAGACACTTTTCCTTCACTATATACCACCAGTCGTGTACATGCAAGATGGGGCCTATTGGGGACCCTACAGCTGTGGTGGACCCCAGACTCAGAGTTCAGGGTATCCGAGGTCTGAGAGTAATTGATGCCTCCGTGATGCCCAAGATTCCCGCAGCTCACACCAACTCCCCGACCATCATGATAGGTGAGAAAGGAGCCGACCTCATCAAACAAGACTGGGGATTCTCCACCCCAAAATGACATGTGATACGAGACAAACTCTTCTGAATACTCTGAGCAAGTGATATGTTAAACTAAATTGCCACATAAGTTAGGATCCTTGATTTAGTAGTCAAGAGGCTGTGTTATTATTAATATTATTAGCTTTAAGTCAATCTTTTTAGTCATATGACGTATGAATATCCTATTTAGAAAATAACTTAGTCAAATATTGTTTTAGATCTAGGCTAATATTTATTACTCACATTTCAGTAAACTTTTAGTGTTTTTAATATGTAAATTATTGTTAGCATTTGTTTTTGACAAGAAAACCTTTGAAACTGTATTATTGAGGAAACGATTGTTGAAATTAGTATTACTGTTACAACTCTGCTTTTCATTAAAAATTAAAGATCACTAATTAATCAATAATCACCCTAAAAAGCCAAAATTAGACTCATTTGTATAAATATTGTTACCTGAAAGTACAAAAAATATGTCAAATTGCACTTGTAATAATATATTTTATACTTAAACTGTTTACTCACAAAACGATAAATATATTATTACAAGTGTTATTTGACATATTTTTTGTACTTTTAGGTAATTTAATAACACTGACGATGCTGATCAAGAAGTTATTTAATATTGTTACATATTCAGTTAAAAAGTTAAATGCTCAACAATGGTATCAATGTTTTAGCTACCGTAACTATAAAATCAGCTGATTATACTTTAAATTGTTAACTCAAAAGCATAGAACAGTTTCCATAGTAGGTATTAACACTAATACCGAAACCCCGGTCTGACAGGCCCACGGGAATTTTCAAAAACACATGTTGGCAACACTGTTTACTCGGTAGATTCCATTCCCCCAATACCTTCCCCCTTTTCCTCCCCTAACTATTGATATATCATTTGTTCATTTTGCATGGGTGCCGTGACCTTGACAGGTCGTCTGTTCATAACATGTCCGTCTCAGAAGTCCAGCGTTAGTGTATTTTAAAGCGAGGTCTCACAGACCGAGGGTTTCGGTTTGTGTGTTTCTAAGCGGGGTCCATTATTTTTCAAATGGGGTCTCACAGACCGGGGGTTTCGGTTAACGTCAGCCTAGGTGGGGTTTTGGTATTAGTGTTAATCTGCTTTTTTATGAGAATACACTAGTGCATATTATTTAAATGTAATTTTGATAAATGTTAGCACAAAAAAGCAACCAAAACATGTGGCAGGGAAGAAAACATATAATTAAGTCCTAAACAAGATTTCAGGCCATTTGGTGTGTGCCTGTGTTTAGTACATTCTGTATGCGTATGAACACTCTTACAGAACACAAATACTCATTTGCTGCAGTTGTTGTTTATAAAGTACGAAATTACCACTCAACTTATCACACATTCAGATGCACACATCAGGTTCGTTTTCTCTTCAAGTAAACCTTTTGGTTACTGTAGTCTGAATTTCAGATAACTTATCAGATGGAGGTTATACAGAAGTGTAAATTATAATTAGATTGTAAATGTTAGCTGTACAATAGTAAATAAAATTATTTAGATCACTATTGCTACCCGTCCCTATCAGATGTATTCATAATGTATGGTTGAAACAGGTTCAAACAGTTAGTTATATATCTAGCTGAATTCATTTTTAAGTTTTTAACTCTTAGAACTGTAAAAAAAATATATATTGTTGATAGAGATTGAGAACAAGACACTAGACTGAAATGGTTTGGCATTATTACAAGTAGTTTTCCTCATTCCTTTCTTATCAGCAGTTGTCAGCTTATTCTCTTGATGTATAAACAACATAGGCCTATGGTACAAATATGAAGCCATACTTAGGATATTTTTTTACTCATGAGAAAATCATTCCCTAGGTACCTTATTTAGCCTATATAACTTTTGGATATTTATTTATCCAATTGCTCGATTGATGATGTCGGTTAAAAGAATTAGGTACACAAATTTGAAAATATAAAATAAGTAAAATTTTAAACTTATAGTCTTACACAAAAACCTACTAAACTTTGAGACCAAACGTATCGCTAGACTTAAGATATTGGAAACTGATGATCCGCTGCAGACCTTGTTATACCACAGAAAACATACTACTATAACCCAGAATGCCAACCGCATGGTAAAAAGCGTTAAGTACTTTAAGAGAGCTTTGCCTGTCAATTTGTAGGCAGCGCCACCAGCACTGCTAGGCAGTAGGCCTACTCAGGTAATTTTATACCTTTTATAGTTTGTTCACAGAACACATGAGAGACAAAACAAGTCAAAATATGAAGGTAATCATTCCATTGGAGTGGAAACTGGCTCGAATAGTAGTGGGTGAAGTACGAAACGTAATGTTAAATCTTAAATTTGGACTAGCTGTTTGGCTGTGACAGGAGCTTGATTGTGACCTTAATTTGAGGAAAGCCTGGTATTTTTTAAGCCATTCAGAATTTTTATAACAATAAGAAAACAGACTTTTGAATAGCAAAAAAGGTGGAAAAAGTAACTGGAGAAAGTTACCGTTGGATCACGTAGAGCTCATGACTCAGATATGCCTCGCTTACTGTCTCAGTCTTATACTAAAGAGCTTCCCGCATCCTGCTATTTGATTTTCAGAGATCTTCACCAAAACAATGCTGTGAAACTACTTATTTGAAAGGACAATGTTCAGGAGCTTCTAGGAACCTCTTTGCAAGAATGAGAGGGAAACATATTATTTGCGCAACAACCATTGTCTTTAATGTGTTTTTTCTTTTGAATGTCTTAAATATGTAGCTCCAAATTGTTGGTCAAAGATAAAGTAAGTTAAATAGTAAAGAAGTAGGTACCGGTACCATAGACTCTAGACTTCTTAACCTAAAAGGGTTGTTTTTTAAGCGTTGTTTTAAAAACTTATTTAGCATATTTAAGAACTAATTTAATATAAAAATGCAGACATTCAACATTTAAGTAAATTAAGTTAGTAATTTAAATTTTCATTAAAATAGTGGAAGAATAAGAATAATTATTTCCTGTTAAACAAATAACGCTTAGTATAATGAGTATTGTGTTATTTTTAGCTGTGTTTTAACTGCAATAGGCTACTGTATTTTTAAATAAATAATATTGCCTTAAACAGTATAGCCTACTATAATTTTGTATGAGCAGAGAAATATTGAAGGTAATGGATGCTCGCTGCATCCGGGTGTTATTTGAAAAAAATTGCGGTAAGAAACTTAGGTGCCTCGCACCACAAAATAGATACTCAATGCCATAAAATGCATCGACCAAATATTGATAACAATACCATACATAACCTTAATATGATATGCTGCATCGTTATATTACCCAGCATCATTATTGCTTAAAATGGTAAGTTAAGGCCTCCTTTAAACCTGTTGAGATTCAATATTAAAGTTATTGAGCAGATAAAACATCAATTGGCCAAGTCACTAAATATAAAATTTACAAAAACAGACTAGACGTGTTCCTAACAAAATGGTACCGTGTAAACAATACATGAGAAAGTTGAAAAGAGCTGTTCCTGATCATTGGGCTTTAAATAATTGATCCTGACTAATGAAACCGCAGATCTTAGTCAGTAACAAAGCTACACAGATCGTCTCACACCATTCTACACTCATCCTTCACTCATATTTTGGTTAAAATACGCACCTAGGTGGCGTCCCCATCTCAATGATTGATGATTGATAATTGAGAGATAGGCTAAAAAATTATTACTTTAAAGAGTTTTGGGTTAAGTTAGAACATTATTTTGGCACTTTTCAATTTCAATAGAATTGAAATCTTTGAAGATATTTAGGCCTTAGAAGCTAACTAATGTGCTGTTCCGTCCATTAAATCATACCAATCATCATTCTTTCCGGTTTAATAAAACATTAAAATTAAAATATTGAGTAAGTTACTACTGTGTATGCTGTGCAGCCTGCAGGCCCTAGCAGTAAACTCCGAAACCAAACAAAACCGAGTCAAGTTAAATCTAAACGCATGTAAACAGACCAATACTTCGAAATAAAAACATTACTTAAAGTTGTGCATATTTGAAACCCAAACATATCAGTCGGTTTAACAAATATTGCGCGATAATTAGCAGGAAATATCAGGAAAATACAAACATTAACTAACCTGAAACGATTAGGGCCTCATTTGGTCCAACTGTGTATATGTTTCCCATTGCACTTATATAATTATTTCAGTAGAGTACTTTAGTTACGCGTTAATCCAGATTTACTACTGAATATAAAGTTCCTAAATTTGTATTCACAAAACACACAAAATTACAAAATAATAATAACTAACATACACTTATCATTGTTTACATTACATTCCTTTAACACACCGCCGACAACGACAGATGACGTTTCCCATGATGCTTTTCGGCAAGCGGCAGCGCGGCGGGCGATCGTCTGCACTGCACTATTGAGTGGCGGGAAGATTTAAAATTACTATCTTCAAAGAGGAATCTATGTTATCATATAAGGTAAAAAATATGATTGGCAAGCTTACCTCAGCATACTAACATGTATACCAAACTACCTTAATGGATCTGTTTTACAATATTTTATCTGCACTATAAAAGGTTATTATTAATTATCCACCTAATTAGCAAATCTCATGGACCACACTGGCCCTAACAAACATCCCTTGCCACAGTACAATCAACCACATACCCAGACCGACCTGCCGGCAAGATAGGTGCTTTGAAATGAAATGAAATGAAATGAAACCAGTGCTTTATTTTCATTAAAACAATGCATTACAAAATAATAAGATTTTTTCATAAATAACTCTTCCATATACAAAGAAAATATCTACATACAACCTTGAATCACACTTATTCTATCGTGTTTTACCTTAATATCATTTTGTTTTGTTTAACTGCACTATATCAGCATTAGCCCAAAGGACTGTCAGCTGGGCTGGCAGCTTTCATACAAAATATTTTTATTTTCTCCTTATTTTCCATATTCCCTGCAACACGTTAGGATGGCAAACAATGTATTTTTGTGTTTTTTTTATGCAAAATTAAATTCTGACACAAGCTCATATCTATATTTCCATGCATTAATTAAATAACATCCTAGACTTTGCCAGTCCCTACCATTTAAATATGAGTGTAAATCTTCCCTAGTAAGTTCTTTTTTTTGAAGAAAACGTTTCCTTATACCTGCAAGGATTGGACACCTACAGACATAATGAAATACATCCTCGTTTTCCCTTAAATTACATAAACTGCACACGTAATTTTGATCACCTATCCAAGGCTTGTAGTTTAGATAAATTACTCCAACTCGTGCTTTGTAAATCCATTTTATCGCCCTTAGAGATAAATTAGCATTGATATAGGACGAGTTACCCAATTCCAAGTTCAAAGTTGCATATGTTTGGTGATAACGTGATCCTAAAGCCGATTCCAAGATAGGTGCTTTGTTGCAGCCAAATGAAGTACTGTATGTACATGTTCTATACGTACTCAATTTTTTCAAACAAAGATGTAAGAACGGATCATTCTTTTTCCACGGATGAGCGTTTTTCAACTAAATAATTTTTTTAATATATATTGTCCTGGTAAAAAAATTCAATGATTTGCTGACATTGTTATCAGATAGGTTCTATATTTTCGGAATGTAAAAAGAAATCTAATAACATTTTAAATAATTTGTATACATAAAATGTTTACATGTACTGTATAAGACAGTGGACATAAATACAAGATGATACGAAGTATCGGATATATTTATGTTTACTATCTTCTGTATAATAGGGTAAATTCATTTAACTGCCCTTGAGAAAATTTATCTTTAGGAACATTAAAAAGAATAGGTACTGTTTATATATGGCAGTTGTATACAAAACTCTATCATGAGATTCGTTGAAGCAGGTGATGACGTTGATCTGAACACAAGAAATTAAACAATCTCCAAAATGTTGACCAAAACCCAAAGGTATTTTTTGAAAAATAATACACAGAATTGAATAGCTTAAGTGGTAAGGAAATTTGCTCTTGAAATCATATATGAGGAATGTTATTTAAAGTTATTTAAGATATTTAAAGCTGATCAAGGTAATTAAGCTACGCTCATTTTATAAATTTTGTTATATTTTTTTAGACAGGTTCAATAACTTGAATTATATTAGATTTCTTTTATTGTTGTTGCCTCTGTTTTTGAGAGGGTAAGATGCTTGTGTTACCCCAAATAAATCAACTGAAAAATCTGGATACATACGCGGATATAAAGTAAAAAGCAACTCTATTTCAAATTACCAGAAAAAAGACAGGCTAATTAAAAATGAAAGAGGTATGTACAGTAGACTCCCTCTTATCCGGACTCCTCGGGAACGAGTCCAGTCCGGATGACGGGTTTTCCGGTTAAGCCGACATCACCAAAAACTCGACCGTTTACGGTGATTCGACTTAAATTTAGGAGAGCATTATATTTTAGACATGTGATTACTGGTTTCAAATCATTCCCACGAGAACAGTCGTTTTTTTACCACCCACTTCCTGCCGATCTAGTCCGGTTAAACCAATGTGCTGATAAAAATTGTCCAGTTAAAGAGATGTCATTTCCGTCGAGTGTAGTTTGGTTAAACCGATGTCCGGTTAAAAGGTGTCCGGATAAGAGGGAGTCTACTGTACAAAATTTCCTTTAAACCACCATGTACAGCTCATGACACGTAAGCTGGCACTTGGGCCTAGCGCGGGCAGTGTAGGCAGGGGGTGGGTGGAGGCAATGAAAAGACCGGACTGCAAATATTTCCGCTGACTCGCAGGGTTGACTCCCCATGTATCATGTACTGGAGCGCCTACACAAAGACGGCAAGGACAGATGTCAACCCGCATGATGGCAACTCAAAGATGTGAATACACACTTCATTACTTGCCCTGTAGCAGCAAACCTCAGTACTCATGAAATTAGAAATTTTATTTAAATAGGACATAAATCTGACATTTTTAGAGATGTATTTGAGTGAAAATCCAACTAGGCAGACGAGGATTAAAAAAATGATAGGTTGTATTCGCCTAGGCGGACTCTAAGCCACTAAGAAATGAATTATCACATAGCAAATTGTGTTTTGTGATTGGCTGGATTTGAACCACACTTCCATGAGAATAGTGCCAAAGTCTTTTGTTCAGGGCCAGCTACAGAGGGTGTTTTATACTGTAACACTCAACTGTCTATGGTTCACAGTAGCTTATTCGGCTTATCAGATGGACAAGCCAATTCGAATTGTAAAATTGTTCAATATCAAATATTTGCATTGAGGTTATGAATGTAACATAGACATAGAGCACAAGACAATTGGGTTTTTAGGATTTTTAGTGAAGATAAAAGGCTTGCCTGAATGGGAAAGAGTCTAAACTGGCACAGGAAACACAAGACATCACTAGCCTATAACACAAAACATAAGAATATTTCACTGTTATTCAGGAAGAGCATGTTTAACATGTATGTTTCAGGAAGAGGGTGGTTTTTTTTTAAGCCTAGTTACGCTTAGTGAAAACTCTTTCTTCCTTAGTTGAAAATGATGTCAGTTATAATGAAATATTATAATATTTTGTTTTTGTTTAATGGTGTGTTTTGTATTCCTTGTGACAGTTTGGACTCTTTCCCATTCGAGTAAACCTAAGCTCACAAGAGAAATCCTAAAAATATTTGCATTGTAATTTATTGTAAAAATGTATAATTCTGAATAAATATCCACTTTAAAAGCTAAGTCCAATGTTCAACCCCCTCTCAACCCTTCTCAGCAGTAGGTCAGTGAACAAAGACGGTGACGGTACTAGTGTGATCCCCTACAGGTGACCGTCGCGGGTCCGCGCCCGTGTTACAATCATAATCAGTCAGAAGAACTTTTGAGGAGAAATTTGTATCATGACGGTTACATTTTTGTAATTCCATAGCGAAAGTGTTTGTTTTTACTTGAAAAATGTGCCAAGAATTGCAATTTAATTTTGAAACCCAGTGTATAACGCTTTGGATGTGTTTGTCAATACTAATTCGTCAGTGTTTGAAATAACGTTAATTGTTTCGAAATATCCTTAAACAATAGAACTTGACTATTAATGTGTAATAAAATTACTATTATGAATATGGGGAGCGAGCTGGTTTAGTGGTAGAGTGTGGGGCTTCAGTGCACGAAGTCCCGGGTTCAAACCCCGCCAATCACCAATGGATTTAATCTAAGTGATAATGCCGCAACCATATAGGACTAGCCTGAAGTAATGTGTAAGTAAGTCCCGCGAAGTCGCCGGGACGTAAGCGAACGATCTTTTGATACGTATATAAACTATGTATAAAATTTGTAAATAGTTCTTTTCGTCTCCCTGATGATGCCACACACTGTGGCGAAATATTTTGGAGGATTTTAACATCTTTCTACAAGAACAAAGGCTATAAGGTAACAAACGTTCAATAATCAAATATTCTAGTTCTTGTCACTGGGAAATACATCAAATAAGTCCAATGTGCTAAAGGCTCGATTACACAGGGCAAGTTTGGAATATACCAGCTAGATCTTTTAGCTCGTAAACAAGCTGAGTATCCTTGCCGCACTGGCTTGATAGCTGCTATTTAAAAGCGCCAGAATCATTAACTCTGTAAACATGCCACTAGTAGGCCTATGGTTTGTGTGGGCTTTGGAGCGAACTAGGTCATAACTATGTTAGTGTCTTGATGATGCCATCGGATTTCGTTAAGAGCAGGAGCCAGCTATTAGTTTAAAAAAATCATTCATTTTGTTATTGAACCTTACATCTTGCAAGTTCCGCTTTCACCTATTTCACTGATGTCCATGGAATAGTTATCTAACTAGTGCACAAAGTGCGTTTGATCACTCTAGAAACTTAACACACTCATATTTCTCTCATGTGCAGAAAAGACACTTTGCGCTCGTATTCCTCATTATATTTTTCCTACAGTAAAGGAATAAAATAATTGGTCTTTCAAACAATAACCAACACGTTTAGGATAGGTTAAATCCAAGCTAAGTCGTAGAATCAATAGGCTGGGAAAGTCACAGTATAAGTCAGTACGTGCTTGATATCCTGACCCTACTAAAGGATAATTTAAGTGCTCACACTAGGAGAGAGGAGATGCATGAGTACTACACCAGGAAGGCCCAAAATATTGACTATCCCCACTGCCATCTCATTTGTACCTTGAGTAGTATCCTCGTTCAGCTATTAAAATTTATAATACTCTACCTACCCGGATACGGGAGATGGATGCACCCTCCTTCAAGAAAGCGCTGAAAGGGATATTAGTAAATAGGCCACTGTACTCCCTAAAAGAACTTTAGGATGAGCCCCTCGTGAGATATGTCCGCCATGCCATTCGTTAAACGGCCTAGTTATTTTTAAAGTAGCCTATGGTTTTTGTTATTGTATATAGTTTTATTATTTTCTTATAAATTATGATGCAATCTATCGGACTAGATCTGGCAATGATTCAAAATTATCTTTAAGTGTTTCCAACTTATTTTTAAGGATACACGTATTATGTGGCTAATAAAAGCACACTGTTTTGTGTTGTTTGGTTGGAGTACTGGAGTGCGGCAGAGTAAAATGAGTGTGACAAAAGTCAAATCAAATAAAATCATTTTATTTTGCCTAAGTAACAATAATACAGTTTGCATTAGCCAGATCACAACAGTACAAAAATATATCTTTAAGTGTTGCCAGATTATTTTCAAGCGTACACGGATTACGTGCATAATAAAAGCAAAGTACGCCATTTTTGTTGTTTGGTTGGAATACTGGTGTGCGCTAAAGTAAGGCTTTCTGTACTATAATCTGTGCAAGGAAGCCCACTTTGTCAGGTGACTGTAGGAAAAAGTAATTTGCTATGAATAAAAAGTCCCATTTGAAAATTACAAAACTTTATTTTCACTATACCTAAATAAATACAACACAACACAATTCAGTACACACCATACTCGTAATATTTACAAAGACCGCAAAATAAAAATCATCAAACAACAAAGATAAAGATATCAGCATCCAAACCTTGGGGAAACATTAGCTTAGTTTGTATGAGGTATGTTTTCCAAAATCAGCTGTTTTCAGTAGATTTTTGAAGAGACCAATATTTGCTATGATTTGGATGCAATGAGGAAGGAAGTTATTGAATAAATCCTGTAATGATGATTTCAAAAACTTCTCACTAAATATTTCCTCTAAATTGTTAGAAACATCTTAGTTTACGACTAATATCATGTGATTGTCATTGAGAGTTGTAAAAATAAAAATGTTTGTTAGTTAAATAAAGAACAAGGAGGGTTTGTTCACAGATGAGAAATTCACATTCTTGTTTCTTACTTCATTAAATATAGCTAAATTGAAAATGAGGCCAATTTCCAGGTGGAACCAATAAATAATATAATTACAATTACTGTTGGTTGAAAGTTATATAGAAATTAAATTTGTGTGCAGGTTTTCTGCAGCGAGGGTATTTTATAGGGATGTGCGATGCTTCGAAATTCTGATTCAATGTGTCAAATTGCGATTCCATTCAGTGGTGGTCAAAAAACTATTTGATTCATGGGGGTATCAGTATCCATATACGAAAAACGCCTGCAGAAAGTCAACGCAATACCCGCAATACAGGAGCGTGTTGCTGTTGCGTTTCCTTTACGAAGGCGTTCTTGTTTAATTAATTATTTTCATGTAAATATTGCTTTAACTGTTTTATAATTTTTTTAGTTTGACATTGCAAATGATGATAAATCTTGTTAAGTGTAAGCAGTGTGAGACATGTTTTACTACTGTGAACATAGCCAAAACAAGATAGGCTACTCCAAAATCATTCTAAAAATAAGTCTGAAAAATTGTTACTTGATACTTAACTAGTAAGATTGATGTTTTAGAGTGATGAATTTGGTATTTTTGTAGATTCTATCCTCTCATTTCATCAATGCAAACCAATTGAAAGTTGTATAAATCATACAAATGTTTTTATTTGTTTACACCAAAACATATATCTTTATTTGTAAAATCAATATTATAAAATATGTAACATGCTTAACAATATGATTCTGTAAGTAAAAGTTATGAAATAGGCAAGTTAAGCAGCTCACTGACATTTCCAGCAATACAGGTTATTCTAATATATGTTTGAAAATAAATATTTTTTCCCATAAAATTCATATGTTATATTATGAATAGGCCTAATACCACATCAACAAAAATTTGCATTACACAAATGTAATAAATTAAAGTATTGTTAATCCACTCCATTGACAAGTAAGAATAGAAAAATGCCGTATTGCTTCGAATCGAATATCTTTTGAATCGAATTACTGCTTCAAATTAAAAATATTTTGATGCTTCGCACACCTCCCTAGTATTTTATAACTATTTAGTATTTTTGTAGGTTTACATGTCAATATATTTATAAGAATAGATTTCTCATTGCTGGGTAAGTAAATTACATTTTCTGTAGGCTCAGAACAAAACTGTACGATATGTATATTGTCTAGAATGCATGATTGACAAAGGGGTAGTAGCTCGATGTCATATAAAGTATAGGCCTATAAACCTACATGCTGTTTTCAAATACTGTTTTTGTTGGCTTTATCAGTAATGCATGTTTATTTACAATGGTTTTGAATTATGTACAATGACAAAATGTTGTATAGATAGCACCAATACTTAAATATGATAAGATGATTGTTTGATTGATTGATTGGTTGATAGTTTTGTTTCATGTAATTCATTTGATTACTTATTTTAGAGAGTATTCGGTGATATCATTGTATTATTGACTATTGTTGTACTCGTATGTTTTATGATTTGTAACCTCAACAAAGCAACATCAATCAATGCTCATTCCCCGGTACAAATAATAGATGCTACAATACAACAGTATCTTTCTCTATGTTTTTGGATGATATTTAGTAAAAAGTTACTGTATAAAAATGTTTGAGTATGGAGTATCATACTTTAATACAATCGATATTGATGTCTGAAGTCGTCAGTCGGGATTGATGTCAGATGATTATCGGAAAGCTGCAACTTCAGGTGTGGCTACCTTCTGCTGGATGATCTTCCCATAGCCGCCTCGGCCGCCGTCAAAGTCTGTGCGGTATTCATCACGCACCTGCGAAATACAACATGAACATAAAGGTAATCAATAATTTAAAAAATGGAAATTAAAATTAAATACCATGTGTTCCTAACTGCAAAAACTTCATGTGGCATTGAAACTTAAAGGAGAATATGAATCCAATCATCATAACTTGAACTTTTAAAACTTCAAATCTGCATTGATAATCTAAAAAAAAACTTAAAGTGGTTTAAAATACCTGCATTGAAGTAATCCAATTCGTTGCTTGTGTTGCAACCGGTTTCAACTCCGTGGAGTCATCTTCAGGCGTCCAAGGATATAAGTTATCACTTCATTTTAAGGTTGTCATAGTTTTTAAAAAACGAATATACACGTGACACGAATATTGAACACTGAACACTGACGTTTAACATTTAAAAGACATACAAAGTTGCTGAGTCTAGACTTTACATCCGGCCGGTACGCGTCGCTAACCTTCTCAGCAACTTTGTATGTCTTTTAAATGTTAAACGTCAGTGTTCAGTGTTCAATGTTCGTGTCACGTGTATATTCGTTTTTTAAAAACTATGACGACCTTCAAATGAAGTGATAACTTATATCCTTGGACGCCTGAAGATGACTCCACGGAGTTGAAACCGGTTGCAACACAAGCAACGAATTGGATTACTTAAATGCAGGTATTTTAAACCACTTTAAGTATTATACAGTAATCCGGAGGCTAACATTCATCAATATAAAAAAAAGAGAGATCTTATTGTTCTTGTTTCCTCTTTAATATTCAATGTAGATCAAGAAGATCATTAAACAGGGATATAGATAGTCACACAGTTTGTATTAGCCTATCCTATATGAAGAAAACATAGATGTAGTATATTGCTAAACAGAAATTTTTGACATATCAAATCAAATTTACGTGAGTAGTTGTTTATGGTATAGTGTAGTTTAATATGAATAAACTCAAGCTCAATGACGAGAAACCCAGTCGATTGTATGTATCCAGCAGACGGATGCAAGGTAGGAAAGTGCCGTTAAGCTCTTAGAGAAATCAAATCTGTGTTGACTGAGTCACATTTGGTAACTGTCTACCACACGCTCTTTTACAGCCACCTTATTTATGAGATTGTGGTCTGGGGACATTCTGTAGATACTCAGGACCTACTACTCCTTCAGAAGAGGGCAGTCCATTTGGACCCCTCTAGGCCTTTATTCATAGACTTGAATATCCTCACGGTTTTCAGTCAGTGCGTCTACAGCATTATAACTACGCCAAGAGTAAACCTTGAATACTAAGAAAAGAGGGAGCCATCATGTCCATGGTACCCGTAGATTTGTACATACCCCGATGTCACCTTAGTACGACACAGCGAGCCTATCCTCCGTCAGTTCTGAAGATCTACCTAAGTAAAGGACCTGAATCTGAAGGCTTTTAAGAAACAACTGAAGGAGTACTTAGTGAAGTATAAGAACTCAGAAGAACTCTTAGAAAGTTAAAGATGGAACACCTCTATTTAGGCAGTAAATAGCCACAACACTCTTCTGACGCAGTCAATCCAATTTTCATTGGTCAACAACGAAGAGACAAGTATAACATGCGCGATGCTGGGGCACCCAGTTCTGGTATCTGCCTAGAGAGGCTTACTACGATGTCCTTTTTTGTGTTTTCTACACCATACGTTTATGAAAGTGACCAGTCCAAATCCTGGTCTTGTTATTGAGTTTTTGTATCAACAAGTTTAAATAGGCTAAATTATACATCAGAGTTTTAGTAGGCCTACTTACACTCTGATAAAAGCAACAATATCGAGAAAGCGCTCGTGAAAAGGCCGTTGTACTCGTTAGCCGAGCTTGAAGAGTCATTCTTTCCATCCTGACGAATATTCAAACTAGCCCTAAAGAATCCAAACCGCCTTTCCACAAAGTTTCTGTAGTGTTTGTAAATATTAGTTTTGTAAAAAATTGTATATTGTAATTAAATTGACGCAATCTATCCGATAATGTCGGTCAAAGATGAGGACATCAAGTAGTCAAGTATACAAGTATAGAAAAGTACACTTTTCACAGCCTTAGCTTAAGCAGGTCCAAACAGCCTTCCTCTTAATCTCAATATTTTCAAAATGTGTTCTGTAGAAGAGTAGTTTTAAGGGTTTAAGAACTATGTTTTTTTTTTATTACTGACACAAAATGTCTAGCTTGAGTGAGTTGGGGATAAATTAATAAAGTGACAAGTTGAGTTAACAATTCAAGTCAACTCGAGTTTAGAACAGACTCGAGCCAGTTTGTTTTCAACTCCAGTCAGACCCAAACTCATATGCAGGATGCCAAACTTATACGAACTCAAGAAACCTACAGTTCGACTTGCAAAACTGAAACCTTATTGGCTGATAGAGTCTGAATAACTAAACTTACATGCCATTGGCCGAAAAAAAGTTGATTGTCTCTATCGATTAAAGATAGGTGTGGTCTGACTTAACTTGCAACCCGTTAAACCACGAATCCACACTAACTCAGAACCAGCCGCGATCAGACTTGTAACTAGAGTCAGGGGCAGCTTACGAGTTTAGTGAATCTATTAAAGAACGTAGCCTACTCGACTTTTCAAATGTCTAAAATAAATTAAAAACAAACACATCGTTTGGATTTTTCTGTATGTCAACATGAATTATAATGTATGCAATAGGGCACTGCATGTTTGCAATAGATTATTTAAATAAAAAAGAATGTAGGCCTATTTTTCAGGTATACCTAAGAAGTTATTTATATTACTAAAATTAGTGAACAATACTTTTAGATTAGTTGAACAAATAAAATGTAAGCTACCAGCTACCTAATAAAAAATAAGTCCATAAGTAATTGTAATAGTAGTTTACTCTGACAATCGCGTAAAGATAGTGTTAAAGACACAAGTAGAAATTTAAGGTACGAGCTGTGACGAGTGCCTTAAAAACTTCTAAGAGTGTCGTTAAGACTATTTACACGAGTTGCATAGTACACTACTTTAACTACAACGTTTTTTAATTACAACAATAACTACTCAATTCCAGGGGAGGTTATGTTTTAGTTTATAACCTCTCAATGCCACTGACAGTGATGCAAGGACTGATTGTACCAACCTCTAATTGCACAGATCATTGGCAATTAAATTGGTAACACCTGATTAGTTTAAGTTTGAAGGATTACAATTTTATTTCTTTTCTCTCAATCCTTGAACCTCATTGGACCGTTACTCGTGTTGTTAAGTAAAAAATGCTGTTAGGTGAATCTTTTCACATAACCACATCTTGATTTGGGCATAACCCAATTGATAAAAAAATATATCTCAATACTTAAAGCCCTAAGCCCGAATACAGCTCGGGGCATTAGTTCCTTGAATCTAGCCTGTGAGTGCTTGTGCGTTCGGTGGACAGTGGCATGGTAGTTTAGTTGGCTAAGGTGTAGCACTGAGGAATGTAGCGTTGAGGTCTTTCTACATGTGCAGATTCAAACCCCGTACATGTTCAATCCATATGTAGCTTAGCTGTGTGTAAATACTGGGCTGCAACAGAAGGTTGCATGCAGCTCCCGATGTTTTTGTAACTACTTTAGGATAGGCCTAGAGGTTGTGGCATTATCAATGAGATAAACCCCAATGGTGATTGGCAAGATTGGTCCAGGCTCTATCGTTAGACCAGCTCGCTCCTCTCAGCCCCCCTTAAAAGAGAGAACTTTGTTGAACCAATTACATTTATAAAAGCTTTGGATTAGTCATAATTGTGATGATTCTCTTTACAATCAATACCAGATGGATTGGCTCAACTACATAGAACTCAGATTATTGCTATTTATTCTTACATGTTATTTATTATTGTTACCGTCAAATTTTTACAGATATTTTTGTCATTGTTGTCTTTTTTTATTGTTATTAATTGATCAAGAGATAGTGAAGGACTCAGAAAACTGCATGCTACTGGTTTGAACCGACAAAACTATATAGTATACAAGTAATAATAATTTTAGCACAGACAAAACATTTATGGTTTATGCATTTTGACTTTTGCATTGGTAATTATTGTGTTAAATAAATTTCTTAATCGATTAATTGATTGCAATGAAGCAGAGATAACTTGGAGTTGATTTGGCTTTCTTGAACAAGGACAAAATTGAAATCCAATTAAATAATAATAAGAATACAAGTTAATGATAAAAATTAACAAGAAGTATATCACTATGACACCAATATATTTTATTCATTCACAAACTCATCTGAACTGATTGATTTACCTGTCCGCCAGTTTTACCACGTCCATATTGTCTGCCCTCCACGAACCCTGCATCCCAGTCAGTTCGGACAATCCGATCGTCAAGTCGTGTTCCGTTGATATATCTAATGCAGTTCTCCGCATCAGGTCTTGTGTAGTACCTGATTCTGAGTCAAGTACAGACACAAGTTTGGCAGATCAAACACAGGGAAACAGTTTTCTCTAATTGTAGTGATGGTAGAATTTTAATAATCCCTGTGTTGCGACATAAACGTTTCGGAATTCAACCTAGAGAGTGATACTCAACAGAACCAAACTGTCACTTTGTTCTCCAATCCGACAACGGAATGCACAAGCAGCAGTGATAGGATTAGGATTCTAACTAGGAAGAAAAATGCCACTTTTACAAAACTAAATTTCGTGAGAACAGATTAGTCTGAGCACACAAGAAAAACTAATTTCAACGTTTTACATAAAGTCTAAAACCATATTGCAAAACTTAAGCCTACTAATACTACTGTATTTTGGATCTTTCAATCCGAAATAGTATAGCAAATTGTTTAGATTATATTACTTTGACCAAGATTAGTATGGACCATGTGTTAGAATGGATGAAGGAAATCTAACCATCGAGATATGGAATGCGTTCTAACTAGGGAAAGTATGAAGGGGGGTCAATGAGGCAAAAGATGAAGGTTTTCATAAAGCTAAATAGTATGTAGAAAATCAATAGAGTATATTTTCATTTACAAGCCTACTGCTATCCTCATGTGGCTTGGGAGAACGGAACAGTCAGAACTTCTTGAAATTTGTTGGCGACTTTCCGAGCAATATGTTAAATATCCTAACCTAAAGACCTTTTCACACCGGCGTACTGGACATACTGTACGTAGAGTACGTACTGTACGCGGTCCTTTCACACCACACAGAAACTTCCAAAACGTACACTTGTTCGTTTGCAGTCAGACAAGTAACACTGGCTGAGCACGTGGTTTGGAAGTGTTCACTGTGCATGCGCGACCCCATGTACGCCACGTACGTTTTAGAAAAATCGCTCTCCGAACGATTCACACAAAACCATCGCGTACATACTGGACGTACAGTACGTTCTGTACGCGCGGTGTGAACGAGCTCATATGATAACATGGGCAATTTGTTGAAAAAAAAACGTACCACACGTACAGTACGTCCAGTACGCCGGTGTGAAAAGGCCTTAACCATTACAAATGATTATCTTGGAGGTAATCACCTGTCCGCCTGTTTTCCCGCGCCCGTATTGTCTGCCCTCCACAAACCCAGCGTCCCAGTCAGTTCGGACTATCCGATCGTCCAGTCGGGTCCCATTAATATACCTCATGCAGTTCTCCGCATCGGCTCTTCTGTAGTACCTGGTACTCTGTCAAGGACTTACGCAAGTGACACTCACTAGCAAGTAGACTAGTTATGTATCAATTAACACATATTTAGAACCTGTACAACCAAATTATGAATTAAATTACCAAGAAAAGATTATAAAAAGTGCAAAAAAAGTTGATGGTACGTGACATTGCCCTTATCAGGGCCAGATTTAAGCATAGGTGAATTAGACGCATGTCTAGGGAATTGCGCCACAAAGTGGCCTGAACCAAAGTTACAATTTAAAAAATAATGTTACTGCTAATGTTTTATTATCGTAAATGGTAAGATAGTTCAGTGGTGTAGTCGAAAATTTTTGAGTGTAAATGCTCACCATTGTATGAGAACTTACTAACATCGGATATTTTGATGTGTTCGCGAAGGTGTTCATGATTTTCTGGCGATCGTGAAGGTTGTAAGGTATCATAATTTCACTGCGATCACAGGAGATGTTCACCATTTCATCACCATCACGGGAGACATTTACAATTTCTCCGCCATTGGAGGAGAGGTATAACTGATTTCAATACTATTCAAAATTGTTAAAACCCATACAGTTATTGTTGAGTTATTGGAAAAACACTGGTCCCATGTGTTAATTTATGTAATATCCTAAAAAAAAAGTAGGTACCGTATCGTCCTGTCCCACGACTACACATGTACATACCTGATACAAGACTATATAAAATATGCCTACTAATTATTGATTCGTTATTTTCTTGATGACTTAAAAGTAGGCCTTCGCCATTTTAAGTTAAAGTTCTGTTAAATTTTGTTTTGATCTAAAATAATATGCCTCATTTCTGGGCCAGATGCACCGTTCCACCATTGCAAAAATGTCCATGACACCACTGTTTGATATGTAATTATAGTCATTATGAGGACCTCGTCGGAGTGAATTTATGTTCTTTTATCGCGTTAAGATTGAAACTTGTAGCCGCTCATCAGTGAAGATTAAAACCGGTCGCTGCTCATCGGCGACGTCGACCACACTGACAGATTAAAGGTATTTTATAACCTCTAGTATCAACATAATATTTGACTTCCTTAGAATTAGAAATCACTTTTTGCACCTATCTTCACATTTCCACCCCCTTTTATTGGGAGGTTAATAATAACCTTATTACCTTTATTTGGGTTTTATTGGTAGGGGTATTCCCCTCTAACTACAAGCATATAGCTTTCTGCAACATTGGAGCCTAATTGCCTGTATTTTGTAAATCCAGCCCTGGTGCTTATGCAGAGTTTTACGGAGACGTTCATTTAGAGATACGAGATAGGCCTTAAGAAAATGATCTGTCAAGTGTTGGTAAGCACAGGTGATAATCTCTTTTGACCTTTGGATTTTCACAGTGGTGCGTGTGGAACTTGTCAATGAAACTCAAGGGAAGTTGTTGTGGTGTTAGGATGTGCAGAACTGATTAACTATTTGTAAGAAAGCATCCATGATTCCACAGTCTGTCTTCTTATTTGTAATAAGAATTATCAAGTAAAGGTATTACATCCGAACAAGAAACCCATTAATATTGAATAAAGACAAAAACTTAACAAAAAATTAATAAGAAATAAAATTGAGAAAGGTTTCTGTCTAAGGACTACAATGGATTGATTATGTTGTAGTACAGAGGAGTACTATTGTTATGGAATGCAGTGTTAATTTTTTAATGAAGAAAAGGGGGTTATTGTTGCAAAACTCAAACTACAAGAATTACTAAATGATATTGTTGGCTTTCAGCAATAAATTAATTGAACAGCCTAATTTTATTTTTATAAAATATTGGAACAACCATAATCTATTAGGTACTTGATTGAGACGTAGTCTAGAGGTGTGAGCACAGGTAGAATATTTAGGATTAAACTTCACAAACTCTGCTACTATCTGCTTTGGTCAAAAGGATACTCGACAAAACAGAAGCCACACGGTGTCTTTTTGTATTTGTCCAACCCCATGATGATTCGTTTGATATCTCCACATTTTGAAAAGAGTTCGTAAATTTGTTCTTCGGTTGTGAAGAAAGACAAATTTCCAACATAAAGCGTTGAAGAAACTCTTAACAGTCTTTCTTGTTCACCTCTTGAACCCTGGAAAAGAATTTGTAGATTAAAACAATTTATCAGTAGGATAATTTTTGAGCATCAGAAAATTTTGAGATAGGCTATAGGTAGAGGTTAAGAACCACTTAACAGATTAATTGGGAAGGAACAAAATCACAATTAGGCCTAAATAACCTAAGAAAAAGAGTTTGGTGCAGTTAATAGCATACAAAAGGTTTACAACACACTAAACTACCCTAGCTGATGTGGTGGTAAGTCGGGCTGATACAGTAGGTACTGTACCATGCAGTCACTGGTTCTGTCCGTGTTTACATATTGTCTCCCTGCTTATGGAAACAGCATCTCTGGAGAAGACATGTACCGAATGCAAAAACTGCAAAATTCTGCAATTCGTTTCATTTTTGGGCTCAAAAGATTTGAACATGTCTCTCCATTTAGAGCTGTAGCGGGGATGACAACAGTAGACACTGTTTGCAGGATTATGACGTGCTGCATGGTGCACAAGGCTCTAGTCCTACAGGAGCCACAGTACCTTCTTGAGAGGCTCTCTTTCCGGGAGGAGGTCTCTCAGCGCAGTACCCGCCATGGAGGTCTCCAGCTTCACTTTCCAAGAGTGAGGCTTGAGTTTGGAAGGAGTTAAGCTTCTCGTACTTCGGCCCAAAGCTGTACAACGACCTCCCCTCTGGCCTCAAAAAATATGCCTTGCCATCTTTTAGAGCCAAAATTAAGGAATTGTACTGTTATGATTAGTTGTTATTGATACTTTCTTGTTCTGTTTTGTTATTGTTTCTATTTATTTGTTTGTTAGTTATTGTTTGTTATAAGTTATCACGAGAGTTGTTCTGAAAAGCAGTTGTACTGAGAAACGCTTGATCAATAAAGGCATTTTTATTTATTATTATTTATTTATTTATTTAGGTACGCCCCACATTGCCGAGTCAGAGCCAACACTGGCTTGCCCAATTAACTTATCATCACACTGTCTCACAAGCATTTAAAAAACTATAATTTACTAAGATTGACCCACTACTTCAATACTAGTGCAAAAACAGTCTGGAAGTAACATGGATTAACAACACGGATCTAGTTATAACCTAAACTTTCCCTAATCTAACCTACCAAAGTAGGCCCAGGCCTACCCTTTTTCCCAAGGATGTACCTACTTGAGTTTTTCTTTTAAAATTTCTTCCGCATGGTTTGCTAACTTAAGTAGGCTATGATTTGCAACCATTATTTATTTCATCGCTAAGACAGTTTAATTGTTTTGAGATGAATTGTCATATTTATTTATTTTATGATAGCCTTAAACTTAACTTACTTTATTTTATAGGCCTAAATGTATTAGGGCAGAAATATAAAGCCAAGGTAATTATTGCGATGAACGTGACCATGGGAACCTACATAGATTTATATATCACCAGAAACTAGATTTTTTGCTGAAAATAACGGTGCAAAAATTTTTCCGCGCTCACAAATATTAATGGAGTTACGGCTGTTTTAAGTTTTATTTACCTTTGTAAGTCTACTGACTAGTCTATTTTAATTGACAATATTTCCTCACCAGAAACTTTGTATAACTATTAAATTTATGTAATATGTAAGTGATTTTAAGTAAATATTAGACTCACACTAACAATCAATAGGTTAAATTAACACAAACTTATTAATTTCAGCATAAAGAACGTTCGGGAAACAAGATAGCTAATCTGTACGCAGATAAGTGAAATGGTTAGTGGAGTGGCGGCTGGCGGAGGCATGATGGAATTGACAAAATCCAGTTCCAAGTTCCAGTAATCCAATTCACTCCACAAAATAGGCCAACATTGTTACTTTAACCATGTAGCTTTTATGCCCTTTTGAATCCTTATACCTAGAATAAGGATTTTTATGTAGGGATACTTCTAAAGCCTAACAACTAGCTAACAACTACTATTAAACATACGCCAACAAACAATGTTAGACTTCTCATTCCATTCTAAAATCTGAAGTTTTTTCCATGTCTAGTTCATGTTGGTGACACTTGAGTGCTAGTGTCATAACACTTTGTTAAATATAATAAGAGAGTACTACAGTAAAGTATTATTAAACATATTAGTAATGAACTGTGCTTTACATTTGGTAATATAACCAGGGGATGAGTAATTGTGTTATTGACTTAAATAACACGTTGATTAGGTAGTCTATGAATCATTTTATTATTAAAATTAAACGATTCTAAACTAACCTAACCAAACCAAACTTGCTGTGTAAAACGACAAATTATCTTAAGTTAGGCCTACCTTAGTTAATATTCGTGGCGTCGGAGACATTTTTGCACTGTTATTTCCTGGTAAAAAGTGATTCTTCTACTTTAATTACTTACAATTAACATTTTAATATCAATAGGCTTATAAATAGGTTAGGTCAAAAAACAAAATAGGTACCAGTAAATAAAGCTTAAAACAGCCGTAACTCCGTTAATATTTGAGAGCGCAGACAAATTTTTGCACCATTGGTAATTATTTAGATGAGGGTGACCAAGCGTTTTATAGTAAGCTATATATCATTAGAAACTAGATTTTTACCTGAAAATAATGGTGCAAAAATTTTTCTGCTGCCACAAAAACTGAATTTACTACGATTTTTTGAAGTTTATTTTAATGTTTTATATTAGGAACATTGAATCTGCACTACCTACAATGTTTAAACTGTATAATCGAAGTTAATAGCACAATTAACATTTTTATTGATTGATTATATGCCATTTTAATGTAAATATTACCCTCACAACCCACACTTAGAAAGGTGATTATGTTAATTTAAGTAGGCTATAACTTATGTATTATTTGATTAAAATTAATTAACATTAATAAACACCTCTAGTTCTGATTTAATCTGGATCTGGGGACTGGATTATGAACATTGAAGAAGGAATTCATTTAGTTCTTCTCTTCACTTAACCGAATGGCTTAGCTTAGGTTTTGACCATGTAACCGTTATGTCCCATAAGTATTTAGTGTAGTGGCAGTTTTAATAAAATGAATAAACAACAAATTGACACTATTCTAACCTAACCTAACCTAACCAAACTTCTCGTACAGTTTAAGATTCTATTAGTTGAAAAAGACATGTGAGGTTGGTAGGTTGGATGTTATGTGGACTCGTGACTGTATTAAGTCCTTTGAAGGTAGGTTAGATTAGGGAAGTTAAAGTTTAGGTTATAATGAAATTATTATTTATTCTGTTAGTAGTACTTTTAACAAAGTGCATAAACAGTCTGGAGATAATATAAATCAACAACTCGATTCATTATAACCTAAACTTTACCTTCCTAATCTAACCTAACTTCAAAACACTTAATACAGTCACGAGTCCGCATAACACCCAACCTACCCACCTCACATGTCTAAATAAGAACTGAAGTAGTTCATAATCAACGCTCAGTTAAATTTATAAATGCCTCTACCTCCTTGTCCTCTTTGTCAATTCACAGTAAAGTTATGAGGATATTTTCTGTTATGGCGACAGAGACCAGCCGACAAGATGCATTACAGTAATAAACTTTAAAAAATCGTAGTAAATTCAGTTTTTGTGGCAGCAGAAAAATTTTTGCACCATTATTTTCAGGTGAAAATCTAGTTTCCAATGATATATAACTTACTATAGAACACTTGGTCACCCCCATCTAAACAATTTCCCTATAGAGGTTCCCATGGTCACGTTCGTCGCAACAAATAGCCTACCAAAGCCAAAATTATTGTATTTTTGTACTCAATGGCAAATGAATCCATTGAATCCTTTGAAAGTAAATAGGGTAATTTACAAGTTAAGACAATTTTGAAAACATTAGGCTAATTAATTCATCATAGGCTACTGACCACTCGACTGGTCACTGACTTACCTTAAAGTGTTGATCTCTGTAAGAGCTTAGTTCAACGGAGGGAGATGAAACCGATGTCATTTTAATTTAGGAGTTTTAACTGTAGGCCCAATGTAGCTTAATTACAGGTAGGACTACTTGGTTTTTATATTCCTTAAAGGCGAGGATACACTTTACTTTACAGCTTGTATGTTGTACACTTAACACTGGGGATATCAACTACGGATTAATATCCCCATGAAACTATTACTGGAAAAAATACCAGTCCTTAAGAAATGATAGTTAAATAATTTTAAAAATTGTATCGCCTCGTAAAAAGTTAATTCTTCTATGGACAATCAAAATAAATTTCGATAGGCCTTCGAACAAGACGTTAAGAACACCAACACCAACCAACCAGTGTTTCCATCCGCAAGAAAAAAATATCCCTGGGCCAACGTCAAAAAATCCCTAGTTATCCCTAGTCCGTGTTCTAATAATCCCTCCAATTATCCCTCTATATCAAATCTAGATAATTTATTATTTTTGCAGCAATACCAATGGATATCATGTATAGCCACCTAAAATATGGTAACTGGTGATATTATTCTTCAATAACCCATATTATTTATAAAGTAATAGGTACTATATAAAAAACATTTTTGTAGCATTAAAACCACGGCCATCTTTAACTCCAGGCAGGCCGCGGCCTGGTAGAATTGGCAACGTTGCAAGTACTGTAGTAGGTATTGTCATAGATTAAACATACTCCTTGAGGAGTATGTTTAATCTATGGTATTGTTTAGCGCAAGACGTCCCATAAGTTAACATGGAAATAAAACATAATATAGAATCGAAAACCAAAACAATATAAATTGAAAATCTATTTCTGTACATTCAATGTGGAGTCAATATTTTCATAGCTCAGTAACCAAGCTTTCGTATTCTTAAAAAAATACATAAATATCATTAGCTTAGCGTTCTCCAAACAAACACCTTTACAACAATATACTTGCAACTTGCAACGTTTCCACTTCGAAGGCCGCGGCCTCCGGCCTGGAATTAAAGGTAGTCGTGATTAAAAACTGTCTATGTGGTACAAAACAAGATTAATATTGGTATACAATCGTTTCAAAAATATTATTTAAGTGTCCAATTTTCAAACTCAATAGTCTTTTTCAAACATGGCCATCATGCCTTGGTGAAAAGGTTACACCAAGTTACTTACTAACCAAAGAACATCACAGACATCACAGAAATCACCGGCAAACAAAATCAAAACGAAAACAAACATTCGTCATTGACACAGGGCACAGGGCTACTAAAAAAAATACAGTAATCTAGATCCGCCATTCCATTCCACCGACCAACTCCAACTTCGCTTGTTTCCTGCAGTGTTGGTTGTTTGTTACTCTTCCCCGTGAGTGTCCCGACTTTGAAACACTACGTTACTACCATACCACTACCTACAACCATAGATAAAACATCCTCCTTGAAGAGTATCTTTTATCTATGCTACAATCGATTTGTTAGCAAAACCTAGGGAAAAAGTAGTATAATCAATGTGTTATTAATACCTTGGAAAATTAGCCAAAAGGTCCTTAACGTTGTTGAAATACAGCCATAATGTATTATTTTATCAATATTTCAATTTTATAATGTCAAAGGCCTGAAATCCCTAGAAAATCTCAAAAATCCTTCAATTTCGCTGATTATCCCTAGTTATCCCTCAATCCCTTTTCAATCCCTCGAAGGCCCTAAATATCCCTAGAAAGGGATTTTTATCCCTCAAATGGAAACACTGCAACCAACTAACAAACAAAACAACACGAATCCACAAACAAAACAAACATAACCTGCAGGCAGGAGAAGAAGTAGTTTTTACAGTGCTCACAACCCAAAAGTCTGGAGCAATAAACATTCCCATACAAGGGTAATGTGGGTAATTCCGATATTTACGGCTACAAAGTAGGCAGTATAAATGCCGAAGGAAATTATATGTATAAAATATCTAGTTTGAACTTTTCATAGGTGAAATACTGTAAATAACAAAATACGATATTAAGTCGATCATCTTGCGAACCTGTTTCTCTCCATGCCCCTGGGTCACTGCTAGCATCTGCTAGGCTACTTTCTATTGTAACTAAATCTACAGTATTAACGGGTCAGATTTTATTAATTAACTAGCTGTTGCCGTTGGCATCGTCCGACATACTTTTTCGTCTTTTATTCTTTACTATAAGCCTGCTGAAGTTGTCACTGGATTCGCTACGGAACGGAACTACCCTCTCTGGAACAACCTGAATGATGTTTTTACCAAAAATACTAAAGTATTCATATCTCCTTTCATTCATAATCATACTCCAAGCCAAATTTTCCAATGGTACAGTTAGTTTTCTCTTACTTTATTGAAAAGTATTTCAGATAGTCTAAAGTAGGATTAAAAGTAACACAAAAACATTATTTTATTTAGTGATATATACTGTATTATGATGTTCCCCGTTACTGTCTCGGCATGCTCTTGATTTGATATTATTCTTGAATTTCGTTGTCCCTTCTGTACATTTAAAATAACTAATAGAGGGCCCATGCTACTCTACAACGTTGAAAATTAAAATCATATTCGAGCAATAATCAAATTTAGAAATGTTTATTGAGTATCTTGATCTTAACTGATTCAAACGATAAATAGTTCAAATTAAAACCTTTAATTAACTTACTATTTTGCGTAGTGGAACTATTGATTTTTAATCATAGAAAACCCTTATAAAAAATAATTTATACAGTATGTTGGTTGTTCACATTGCAATTGCTTGTAGTCCATCCGATTTGGATAACTAATTAATAGCTTAAATGAAAGCTGGCATTTCACTGAAGGTTCTTAGACCAAAATATGTAGGATTATATAACTATAACTGGTGAAATGCATATTAAATTGAAGTAAGAATTCGAAATGTTTGATATATGTTTTTGGACGAGTAATACAGTAAATGCTTAGAGTGAAATCTGTGCACACCTTCAATTTGAGACCTCAATCATGAAAATCGGTTAAATTTATTTTTAAATATAAGAAGATTGACTCTATTAACGTTTAACGAAAACTATCACCGTTTTACAACAAATTGTGTAGCAGCTGTTCCGGTTAATGATAACAACCTATACTGAATTGAAGCTTTAGAATAGAAGATTTCAAATGTTTACGGGAGCAAGCTCCTAAAATGTAATAATGTCGGTAGCTATACTTGCGATAGTACACTTGGTAGGTTTTTAACAGCTTTTATTGATTTATGCATTATTATTATATAATAAATAATGCTATTTAATAAAATAAAAGATTGGTAATCATATGGTTAAACGTACGGACACTGACTAGTTTTTATGTGGAGGAACAAGCAAATTTTCACAGTTTTGAATGTAAACCTATTTTACTCGAAAGATGTTTGAGATAGAAAAACACTCTTGAAGTAAAAAAGTTGTGGATAATTTAATTCTACACTACCGATCTTCCATAAGATTTAAGATCCAAGCATTGTAGCTTATAAGTTTTCAGACCAAAATATAATATCTTGCATACTCGAATTTCTTCTGAAATAGCTTTAATCCCCTAAACCACCCTTGAATTTAGAACTTTGCAAAATCCCAACTTTGTACATCTACACCGTATACATGGATTGTCGTCCCAATGCAAAATGTTATTATTCTAGTGTTTTCCTATTAAATATATTGGGTATCTATATTTAATATATGGATACCCAATATGCCTATAAACATTCAAACTTATAGGCCAATTTGCTGCACACAAAATCCAACAAAGTCTTTTAATAATATAGATACTTATAAGGTTAACAAGGAAACTCCAGAACCACTTGGGTGGAACCCAAAAGTCGGATCAGGATAAAAACTACTTAGTTTTCCTATTTAATGCCTGAAGAATCAGTACACCAAATTTCAACGTTCTAGCTAGTCTGGAAGTTGAATTAGTAATGAATCATTGAGTGAGTGCTTTTTTACTTTTATATGTTAAGATTACTAGCTAAATATAACACATATGAAAGGTACAAAATAAAATCCATAAGTTAAATACAGTAGTAGAATATATAAAAACGGAGCTCCAGACAAAGCTGTCTTTAAAATTTGAAATAGGTAGGTGTTGCTGCAGACTTTTAATTTTATTCAGCGAGATTACGCCCCTGAATTTAGTGTTACTCCCTCAATATGACAACACTGTTGGATAAATCTAGCTAAGTGGGATAAATGCAGGGATGCAGCAGGCACTTGTAGAGCAAAATTTCCCACAATTTCCATGTAACCGTTTGACTGGTTTTCAGGTTATCCACATTGACACAATTGAACATAGCTTGCACAATAAATCGGATGTGTTTACTTTTGGGCTATTGACTTAATTATTACATCAAACAATTAAATGTGTTCTGAACTTGTGTACCCGTTGCGAAATAGACTAGGTTGGATAGAGGTAGGCTAGCCGCCATACCCGTGCTTCGCTAAGGAACGCTAAAGAGAATAATTTATTGTCATGTTCCATAGATATGTTGTATGAAAAATTAAATAACTCATAAAATAAATGCCTAACATTTTCATTTAAAGCATCAAACGAATTACTTTCAAACACGTGTTTTATATCAACTAGACAGCTCTAGCTGTTACCCACGGGCTTCACCCCGTTCCGTTTGACTTCATAAGTATTAATAACACTATTGATTGGATAAAGCACGGGTCACACTAGGCTGGCATCAGCGGCGAATTGAAAGAAGCCGCTACTGTCAGCTTGATGTGACCACAAAATTCGCAGCTGGCACCGTCAGCCGGCGAGTATTTGTCAGCGGCTGGCAAAGTTGGACATGTTCAACTTTTGGTAGCGAGGCAGCAGCGACTAGAGGTCACGTGACCACTCGCACTCGCTGACGCCAGCGAGCAGCGTAGTCTGAACACTTCTAGAAGCGTGCCAGCGGCGACCAAAGATAGTTTCCAACTTGTTTAACCCAAAAGGACAAAAGCAACTGTCTCAATTTTTTAATTAGAGGCTTAACTACTAGTAAGTTAATGCCTGGAATGTATGTGGTGACTGGCGACATTCGTAAAACATTTTGGTATGTTTCTTCTGATTCTTTTTTTTAGTGTGTTTAAAAAGTGGTATTTTTAAAAAGTATTTTTATTTATAAATTATTTGTAGGCATATCCATGGCCTGATCCACTAACGTCTATTTCTTGCACGTTCTTGCAGTTAAGCATATTTTAATAAAATTATTTCTCTTTCACATACATCCTCAATATTAAGTAGTGCTGGATGAGGACCCAAAAAAGGACGAAATGGCGACAAGAACTGAGCTTTAAACTAGGCGATTAAAGTAGTGTAGGAGTGTAGCATAGAAATTACTGAGCTTAGGTGGTCGGGGAAGCACGTTATTGATTTCTTGATTCCAAAACTAAACATACAGTAATTGTGGGACGTTTCTTTAAAGAAGTAATACATCAAATAAGCAGCTACAGTGATTTGTTACAAAACCTCAAAGCTGTTCTTTTCCTTCTCACACATCGTTAATATCGCGATCACCAGCGGCTAACAAGCAGCCTAGTGTGACCCGTGGAAAAGCCGCTGCTTGGTGGTGCTGGTGCCAGCCGCTGATTACCAGCGGCTGCCGAGCAGCCTAGTGTGACCCGTGCTTAAAGCACGGGTCACACTAGGCTGGCATCAGCGGCGATATGAAAAAAGCTGCTACTGTCAGCTTGATGTGACCACAAAATTCGCAGCTGGCACCGTCAGCCGGCGAGTATTTGTCAGCGGCTGGCGAAGTTGGACATGTTCAACTTTTGATAGCGAGGCAGCGGCGAATAGAGGTCACGTGACCACTCGCACTCGCTGACGCCAGCGAGCAGCGTAGTCTGAAGCACGGGTCACACTAGGCTGCTCGGCAGCCGCTGGTGATCAGCGGCTGGCACCAGCACCACCAAGCAGCGGCTTTTCCACGGGTCACACTAGAGGCTGCTTGTTAGCCGCTGGTGATCGTGATATCAACGGATGTGTGAGAAGGAACAGGAACAGCTGTGAGGTTTTGTAACAAATCACTGTAAGCTGCTTATTTGACGTTTTAAATTTACGTTTAAATACGTTTTCTTATTTTACTTCTTTAAAGAAACGTCCCACAAGTACTGTACGTTTAGTTTTGGAATAAAAAAAAAACAATAACCTGCTTCCCCGACCACCTAAGCTCAGTAATTTCTATGCTACAAATACTACTTTAATCGCCTAGTTTAAAGCTCAGTTCTTGTCGTCATTTTTTTGGGTCTTCATCCAGCACTACTTAATATTGAATTGAGGATGTATGAAAGAGAAATAATTTTATTATAAGATGCTTTACCGCAAGAAGATACGTTAGTGGATCAGGCCATGGATACAAATAATTTATAAATAAAAATACTTTTTAAAAATGCCACGTTTTTAAACGCACTAAAAAAGAATCAGAAACATACCGAAATGTTTTACGAATGTCAGTCACCACCACATACATTCCAGGCATTACTACAATTAGTTAAACCTCTAATTAAAAAATTTAAACAGTTGCTTTTGTCCTTTTGTCTTGTTAAACCAAGTTGGAAATTATCTTTGGTCGCCGCTAGCACGCTTCTAGAAGTGGTCAGACTGCGTTGCTCGCTGGCGTCAGCGAGTGCGAGTGGTCACGTGACCTCTATTCGCCGCTGCCTCGCTACCAAAAGTTGAACATGTCCAACTTCACCAGCCGCTGACAAATACTCGCTTGCTGACGGTGCCAGCTGCGAATGTTGTGGTCACATCAAGCTGACAGTAGCGGCTTATTCTTTCAATTCGCCGCTGATGCCAGCCTAGTGTGACCCGTGCTTGACCACCTCAGAAGCGTGCCAGCGGCGACCAAAGATAATTTCCAGCTTGGTTTAACACAAAAAAGGACAAAAGCAACCGTCTAATTTTTTAATAATTAGAGGTTTAACTAATTCTAGTACCTAATTCCTGGAATGTGTGTAGTGATATTCGTAAAACCTTTTTGTATGTTTCTGATTCATTTTTTAGTGCGGTTAAACACGTGGTATTTTTTAAAAAGTATTTCTATTTATAAATTATTTTTATCCAATGCCTGATGCCTGATGGTCCACTAACGTCTCTTCTTGTGGTTAAGCATCTTTTAATAAAATTATTTATTTTTCACACACATCCTCAATATTAAGTGCTGGTTTGAGCACCCAAAAAGGACGAAATGGAAAGAACTGAGCTTTAAACTAGGCGATTAAAATTAGTATTTGTAGCATAAGTAAGAACATCTAATCAAGCAGCTTATAGTGATTTGTTGCAAAACCTCACATCTGTGCCAAGACCTCTGGCATTCTCAAAATGATCTGCTGTGCAAGACACTGTTTGAGCATCCATGATTTTTGTATCCATACCTGCTATATATCCAGTATAATTTTTACTGTGTATTCTGGTCGCTTTTACCAGCACAGCCTTTTTCAATGTCTTAGGCCCCCAATACAGGAAGAATGAGCGTACGCCTAGTATAAATTGTCCTTAAAGCAGTTCTCGTATGTCAAGAAGTTTACAACATAGATTTACATTGTAAGAAAGGGGATTAACCCTGTACCCACGGTGCTTATCTAAGCAGATACTGTACTCTGTTTACATTACACTTATAGTCCTCGCCACCCTAAGTTGAGGCAGCCCAAGGCCGCACGGCGTATATCTAGTGCGGCCTTTGGCTGCCTCAACTTAGGGTGGTGAGGACTATGGTCGACTAGTTGGTGTGAAGAGAGTTGAACAGTAGCATGAGTATCGATTTACAAATTCCTTTCCCAGCTGACGTGAGCTAGGCGATGACTGGTAGGGCTGACTTCCAAGAAACATCGTTAACCTATAAGTCAAACACCCAATCAGCCAATGAGAAGGGCTAATGAAGAAAATGGAGGGGTGAGGAGTTTTGGAGCTGGAGGACCTGAAGAAACAAATCAAGGAGTTCACCACGGGCCACTGGACCAAGAAGATCGAGAGTTTTGGAGTGTGTGTATCGGTGCGTGTGCTTCTGGGACAATAAACAGTATGTAAAAAGAATAAAATATATAACTTAAGTTTTGTAAAACAAACAAGTCATATAGTTTGTCAGTAACTCATTCTTTTACATTTTTAATTGATTTTCTTTTCTTGTAAATTATAGCGTTGTAAATTTATTTATCTTATTATTGTTGATCTTTGCCTTTTCAAAGTTTTCTTTTGCTTTACTTTTGTTGTTTTTCTTAATTTAATTTTGTTCATTACACGTTGAGCAACACCCTTAAGCAGTCTTATGTCTCATTGACCTAACACCTCTAGACTACGAAGTTCAAACATTTATTCAGAGGAAAATTCTTGAGTGATTTTATTGGGTTGGCTAAATAGAGTTTTTGTTTCAACTTTTGAATTACTTATTTCATTTTTACAGTACACTCATTAGTCATTAAACACCAACATTATTTTATTTTACTAGCTATATATTAACTTTGCTTCTTAAGATTGACACTGACATATATAATATATATAATATATTTATAATATATAAATATAATTTTATCTTTATGTATAGTTATCTGAGACATGTACGAACAAGAACAATAAAAAAAATATATCTAAAAAAAGAATATTTTATCTATAAAACTGTCAAAATAGTTAGAAGATCAAAATAAAATATATAATCATTTTTACATTTTTTCTTTACAAATTACAGAGAAGTTTACTGGTAAGAATTTTAACAAAATTTACTGCTCTAGATAAATATAAGGTTTATTGGTAAAGTATAAAAACAGTACATAACAATAAAAGGCAACATATAATAATAACTATAGGCTGCCCTGTACAGCGGCCAACCTTCTCCATAATATTTTTGTCCAGAGCTGGGGCTACATCTTTCTTCCTGAAACAAACATTTTAATCTTGGTAAAGAAAGTCACAATTTTAAAATACTCGGGGGTACCAAATTATGCGGGTTGGTGTAGTTGGTAGTTTCAAATAAAAAGGTCTTATTTTACAATAAATTACCATAGGTACCCTTAACTAAAAGTTTTTAACTGGTTTATTCCACCTACAAACGTGCGACACAAACTCGATCTTTGAGGGACTTTCATTGCTTGTTAAAGACACATGTTAACCTCTTGCCACATTACCAAGAGGTAGATATCTTCCTGAGGAGGATGTAATTGGGAAGCTACAGGCTTTTATCGGACGCATGAACTTGTAACTTCAAGAAAACAAATGTATGGGGTGCGCAATAATTTTATTTTTGGATGAAGTGCTTTATGGTCTTGGCCTGCCCCTGTTAACAGTTTTAACAAGATCAGCAACAGGTAAATTAAACCTTTTATATTTTGTCTAGGCCTATATTTCCCTGATCAAGTTAGCGCAAAGAAGTTTTTGTTGAATAATAGTTGTAAAGGCTTTAATTTCCTGAATTGAAATAAGTACCTGGGGACCGAGCCATGGCGTAGTTTATTTTGAATTTTAAAGCAATATACATGAATGGATGCTTTAGAAGAATTTGAAATTTATAAAACAATCAAAATTCAAGCTAACACATTACTAAGCGACAAAATCAGTTTACAGTCTAACGCTCTGTATGATAATCTAATAAAAAAACAAGAACAGCTGATGAACAAGGAGCCGAGCTGTACAAAGTCCACCGCCCAACCATCTTCCGCATCGCAGTCATGACCCTCATCTGCAACTGTGCGCACGAGGTTGGGGTTGGACATTGTTAAGTTTTTGTCAGTAAGCCTACTCGTTTTGTTCATAAAACGTCTATGACTGTAAATAGTATATGTCCGTGTTTCACATTTAAACTCTTGATGACCCTTTCGAAGTTACAGTGTTAAATGTTCTTGTACAAGATCTCATGATGAGGACTCAAGTCCTTAAAACCCGTAATCCATAAGGACTTAACAGGATCAATCTGGCAGTACTGAGGTAATTTTATACCTTTTATAGTTGGTTCATTGATCTTGCGACAAAACAACTCAAATATGAAAATGAATATTATGTTATTGATATATTTTAACGTAAACAGTAGGGCAATTACAATGTTGGTCATAATTGTTTTTATACAGTAGGCCAACATTTGGTGGCTTTTGTTCATAAATTCGGACTACTTAACAACTGTTTGGATTAGGCGGTATAGTTCATCTTCCCGTTGCAAAGCACGGGCACAGAAGATAGTGAATTATTAAGTGATTTAATAAATAACTCTATATATAATATTTACAATAAACTATACCTTCAAAAACCTGGCTGTTTAACGGATGATATGGCAGACATACACTTATCTCACTAGGTGCTCTTCCTTAAGTTCTTTTACGGAGTACAGCGGCCTATAATTAGTATTTCTTTCAGCGCCTTCTGAAGAAGGGTGCATCCATCTCCTGCAAATGAGTAGGCAGTTATGAGTTGTAGTTAATAGTAGAACGAGGATAGCTATTCTAGGTAAGTTTGAGACGACAGCAGGAAAAGTCTATATTTTGTGCTCTTCTGGTATAGTACTCCTGCACCCCAGTGGCGGATCCAGAGTGGGGGGGGGGGGCAGTCGCAGTTTGGAAATATATGTCATATATTTTTGACTGCATGTAATACAGTAGTGCATACAAATTGTGTAAAATAATTTGTCACACTAACTTAGGACAAAAAAATGCCATACAACTGCCATTTTTGAAGACTTAGTTTAAACAAATTTTTGGGGAGGGAGGGGGTACCCCCGAACCTCTCAGACACCCTGGTCCCCCCCCTTGTGACTGTTCTAGATCCACCACTGCCTGCACCTGGTTTATTGAAGTTTTCTAGGGTCAGGATATCAAGCACTACGCCGTGAGTACCCTTAAGCTACATTTCCATTCCTACAAGTCGCAGGCACAAGTCGAGGCACATGTCGCACGTAGTTTGTCATGCCCTTTCCATTCCATGCACAAGTCCCGCCACTTCAACTGGCAGACAAGGCAGTGTTCTCTTTTATTGTGATGTGGTGAGGTTCGGTGGATGATTTTGATTATATTGTGTTCTACAAATCACCATGGATGACATAACAGCCTCTGCTTTTTTTATTTATGGCTGGTGCATACAATGAACTTAGAAGAAAACTACCTAGATAGAGGATAAGAAGTTTTTTGGCTAAAAGAGCATTGGAAGGTGCATTTAATCAATTGATGAGAGATTTGCGCCGCGACTTGAGCCAGGATGTTTCCATTCCTACAAATTTGGAGATTTGTGCCGGCACAAATTTGCAGGAATGGAAACGTAGCTTAAGATCCTTTAAGATTAGCCGGCAATGATCCAAATGCCGAACAACTGTAATAATCCTAAAGGTTCTGGACAGCATCGTTGTATCATCTGCAAATAATAATGTTTTCCCATTCAGATTAAGGCATGATTTTGTATAGGTTAGGCCTAACTTATACCCTTAACCTCATTGACGGGTAGGGCAGTCAAAATTGAAGCAAAAATTAAAAGCCGAGTAGGCTAAGTTTATGGGAAGATTTCATTAGCTTAGTGTAGCCTAATGTTTTTAATATCATAAAATAAAAATGTCTTAAAATATTATTAGACTAGCCTAGGCTAATCATGGGGTTACAGCTCTTTTGCTTGATGCATTAAAATGGATTTGGTGAAGTAGAACTACAAATTACAACAAGTACTATTACCCTTGATTTATTTAACTGCACAACTATACTTATTATTTATTTTAACGTCTGTGATAGAGCCTATTTATTTGATAGGCTATGCATAAAAAATGTGACTGTGATAATAGGCCTATATCGCTATTAATCAAGTAGCCTATATACCGTGAGTTAATGTATCTCAGACGAAGTCTATAGTAATCAGTGATAATTCAACGAGCAATAAAATGGGCCTACTTAATTACTTGATGTCTTTAACCCTCCGAGCGTCACTCGTTGAAAAATCGACGCGCTACACACTTTGTGTAGTGTCACGCGTCGATTTTTCGACGCCCGAACATCGTTTACGGCGAAGGCTCTATAACTGACTGAATCGGATTGAACTGGATCAAGTTAGGTATCGTTCTTTCCGTTATATTCTAAGCTTTCTCCAGAGGTCTGTCTCAGCGCTGTATGTTCTCCGAGCCGATCGTAATTGTGGCAGACAGCTGACGTGCGTATTTGTAAATAGCTAGGTTACCCTCGGACCGATGACTGATTTTAGTGTTTTAGTGTTAAAAATCAAAAGTAGTGATATACGTGGTGCATTATAAGAAGATTTAAGTGATTTTGAAGGGCTGGTTGATGATCCTGAAGAAGTAGGTAGTGATATTGATGTAAATTATCAGCCAGATTCCTAGCTATGGTTAGGCTATGTATTCTTAGCTAAACGCTATGTACTGAAATCTGTTTTTTGCCCATAACTTATTTATTTGCAAATATACTTCCTTATATTATTATATATTTGTAATCCTCATAAAATTTAGAACAAAGTGGCTATTTTCAAATATTTATAGGCCTATAATTTATACAATTTCATTTGGCGCAAACTTATTTTTTTTTTCAATTTTTCCAAAATAATTTTTTTTTACCTAAAAAATTTTTTTTAAACAAATATTCCTTATGTTTTATGTATGATATTGAAGCCCATGATTTTCCAAACAAAATGGTATATAGAACAGTAGAATTAACATTGTTTTAAGCTTCTCAGATCCGTTTTAATAAAACCTTGCAAATGCGCCAAAAATAGGTGGACATTAAGGCCTAAACTATGGACACTTGGAGGGTTAAGATAGCTAAGTAATTTTGTTAGTAGTATCAACTAAGTTTAGACTAACCTACAAGGTTTATTATCACGCATAAAAATGTTTTGATGGCCGTTGCCCTGGCGGTAGGTTAGGCCCTGTACACATGAGGGCGGCAGCCGCCGCGGTTGCCATAGTGCGGGAACCGCGGCGGTTGAAAGTACAAGGGAGCAAATGGCACCGTTCACATGCAACCGCCCACTTCCAATCAACCGCAACGAACCGCGGCGGTCGTAGATTTCCCTTCGACCGCCGCGGCTCCCGTGCGGTTGAAGTTACTAGAGTTGGCATGAGAGCGTACACATGAGGGTGGTAGCTGCCGCGGTTGACTGCAGTTGCTACTATAAGATCACAGACATCTGCGCGCTTGCCCTGTGGACATCGCTCTCTCTCTCTCTCTCTCTCCGTGTGGGGGTAGCGGATTTTTATCCCCCTGGAATTTTACCCCCTGGGCAAACGTGACGTCACAAACCAGGGGGTAAAATTCCAGCCGTGAACATTTGAGTTTCGCGACATCAGCTCGATGGATTAAACGCGGAATTAAACATATATTTTCACGGTTGTGAGTTTAATCAGAACACATCAAATTATAAAAACCTAGAATGTACGGCCCGGAATTTTACCCCCGGAATTTTACCCCCCGGAATTTTACCTCCTGGCCAGATATAAATTAGTGAGAATGATTAATTATCGTCATTCAGTTTTAATTTAGGTAATGGTAAACATTTTATTATTAAGTAGCCTATCTTAATTTATATGTAACATTAACTAATCGAACAGGGTTTTAATATTAATTTTGAGATTCGAGTGTCAGGATTCGATCTTTGAAGCCAACTGTTGGTTAATATGATCAAAATAAAACAGCGAATTCTGTTTACTCAGTTGAGATTACAAAATAAATAAATAAAGATAAGCTACTAAATAATGAAATGTTTACAATTAATTAAAAACAGAAATTAAGAAAATCAATCATTCAATTTCTAAAATCAGCCAGGGGGTAAAATTCCGGGGGGTAAAATTCCGGGGGTAAAATTCCGGGGGGTAAAATTCCGGCCCGTACATCTTCAGTTGCCTAAACGCTAGTTATATGGACAGGGGGTAAAATTCCGGTTTTTATCGCTAATCTAATTAATCACGCTCTGACTATTTTCATTAGACTTCCAAATCCGCGGGGGTAAAATTCCGGCCGCGAACAAACTTTTGGCCACTCAGGTTACTACGTCATAGTGACGCCAGCTTTGCCCAGGGGGTAAAATTCCAGGGGGTAAAATTCCAGGGGGATAAAATTCCGGCGACCCTCCGTGTGTTGGTGAAGTGCGTGTAGCTGTGGCTGGAGTTGATGTAGTGCTCGTAGTGTAAGTTTACAATGGCCATGCGTGCTGCTGTGGAACCAGAAAACTTTGACTCTGAACTGTCCATTATAGAAGTACAAAAAGAGGATACGTTTAGGCTCAGAGTAATAAAACAAAATTTTGTTTTATTACTCTGAGGTTTAGGACATAAACTAAAAAAGAATGCGTGGCAAAGAGTTAGTTGAGTTTTTTGCTGAAATGAATTATCAAGCGTTACGCGTTTAAAAGAAAAATAATTGGGTAAATACAGTACTGGCTGTCGAGCGACGGTCAATTCGAACCGCGGCGGCCACCGCGGCGGCTGCCGCCCTCATGTGTACAGGGCCTTAGTTGCGCATTTGCTACCTACAAAATCCGGGCCCTGTAGGGTGGGTTATAATGCGGTAGAATGGCGATAAACTTAAGTTAGTTGCCCATTGACGCCTTGAACAATAGATCTCTTGAAATTGTAAAGAGCAATGAAGCATAGGCCTACGAAAAAGCCAGTCTACCGAAATAGGCAAATCATTATGAATTTAATGTGTAGGTACCATGTAACCTTGTAAGTTATAGCCATCCACCTCCACCTGTCAGGTAAAGCCACAATAATCAAAGAAAAAATCACACTACTCCAGCTGCTGAGAGTATCAGATATGTATAGGCTATGTTATAAAATGCTAAAAACTCAAATGGTAAACTAAAACTGTCATATGAAAAACTTAATACTTTGTCAGCATCTTATAAAAAATAAAAATATAAAAAAAAACTAGTGCACTTGTTGCTCGAAATCGATCAATAGTCTAGTACCGGAAGTTATATTAAAACTAATAGTCATAATTTTCTATGAGTTTAAAAATCCAACTAAAAGCGTAGGCCTAGTATGCAACTAATGGATAGACTAGGCCTATTTGATGTACGGTATCGATTCATTCGGTTAGCTAAGTTAGGTTAGGTTAACTTTACTAACCAAACTTGATATATTGAATGAAATAGCCTAATCGATTTATCGATCGATATATTTATTCGAATTATAGTGTAGGACGTAAGGCCTGAAGTGCAGTTTAATTTTAAAATAGATATATTTTAAATAACGATTATTAATCAATATTTTCAATTTGATAGTTTCAATCGATATTAGCGAAGCCCAGGAAACTGTACCCCCAATTTATTTGATAGGCTACCAGAAACTAATTTGAATTTGCTTGAAACGTTAATATTCTAATGACCATGTCCATGTCAATAAGTTACACCTTTCAATAAGAATAAGAATAAGAATAAGAAAGTTTATTGCCGTTGACCAGGTTGTATACAGGAATAGGCATTGTCAAATTACATTAAATATTAAATTACATTAAACAGAATATCAACATCAACAAGTGTGTTATATCTATAGCTAACAAAGATTGAGAATTCCTAACTTACAGTGTGAATGATTCCATTGTAATTTTATGTTTCAAAAAGACCTTGACTGAATAGAACGGATTTGCTACAAGCCAGTTATGAATTTTGGATTTGAAAAGAGAAAGAGAAAGGCTGTCTGCCTGAAGAGGCTCAGGCAGCTTATTATAAAATTTCACACAGTTGAGTTTGAAAGAATTACCTGTGATGGCTAGCCTGTGATGTGGTATATCCAGTTGTTCCTTACTTCGTGTATGCTGAGAATGGTAATTCTGCCTGGTGGAAAACTCATTGAGATTAGCTCTAGTGTATATAAGTACATTGTAGATGTATAAGTTAATGATTGTGCAAATGTTTAGTTTGATAAAAAGTGGTTTGCAGTGCTCCGCAGGGTCAGCCCCTAACATTGTGCGAATGACTTCTTTTTGTATTAGTAGAAGCTCATGGACAAGGGGGGAATGGCCCCAAAGTTGGATTCCATATTGAATATGGGATTGAAACAGCCCAAAATAGGCTAGTTTGAGATATTCAATATCGACAAAAGGCTTGAGTTTCCAGAATAAACATGAAACTCTCGATAGTTTTTTGCTCAAATTTGTGATGTGAGTTTTCCAGTTTAATTTACTACTCGAGGTGGAAGCCAAGAATTTTTACTGAGTGGTCTGATTGTTTAATAGAGAGTGAGAAATCAATTTTCTGGGTCTTGGATTGATTACAGATCAGTTTATTTGCAGAAAACCAGTTTAAAACACTCTTTTCTGCTTTAGAAAGAGCTTCTGAGAGCTTTGTTTGGTCTTTATCAGAAGTAAAATCTGTGGTATCGTCTGCGTAAATTACACATTCGATAGGAGTGTTACATGGAAGATCATTTACTGCGATTATAAAAAGGAAAGGGCCTAGGACCGAGCTCTGCGGAACTCCTGCTTTAACTGTGGTCAATGTTGAGTGTTTACCCTCCACACTAACATATTGATTCCTATTAGTCAAATATGATTCAAGCATTTCTATTGTGTTTTTGCTAAGTCCATAGAATTTGAGTTTAGCCAGCAAGATGTCAAACGGGATGCAGTCGAAAGCTTTTGTTAAATCAAAAAGTAGCATGGAAACAGTATTTTTATTTTCAAAAGCATTAATAATATAATTGGAAATGTGAGAGACTGCCATCATAGTTGATCTGCCAGCTCTAAACCCAAATTGAGAATCAGTCATCAAGTTATTAGAGTAAAAAAAATATTTAACTGTTTTAACATGAGAGCTTCGAAAACCTTAGATAAGATTGGTACTATCGAGATTGGGCGATAGTTTTGACATAGATTCTTGTCACCCTTTTTATAAATTGGAGTTACTTTTGAGACTTTACGTTGGTCAGGAAAATAGCCATTACGGAGACAACTATTAAATACAGTGGAGAGGGGTGTAGATATGTAGTGTATAATATTCTTGATTATGTAGTTTGAAAGCCAAAAGTGATCCATAGATTTAGAATTTGAAAATTTTGAGACTGTTTTTGTTACCTCATTTGGTGTGATAGGTATCCATTCAAATTTAGAGACGTCCAATTTTTGTGTAGATTCCAGTAGTTCTCTTGGTGTGTCTTGAGTCTGGCCCACTTGATTGACCAGTTCCTCAACTGAATCTGTAAAGTGCCTATGTGTTTAATTTGTTAGGGTCAAGAGTAACATAAGATGTGCGTGTGGTTGTATTTTCCTGTGTTATTATGTCCCAGGCGGCCTTGCATTTGTTCTTTGAATTGTTAATGTATTTTGCACAGGCTAATTTTTTAGCAAGGTTTGAATCCTTCCTATACTGTTTTTTTTAAGCTATTGTAGATATTATTATAAGCTGCCTGAGCCTTTACAGAATCAATTTAAAAAAAATGTTTGTACAAAGAATTAAGCCATCATGGTTTCCTTACTTTTTTTTAACTATCACTATAATAGGTGATTTTATTTTTCACTAGATTAGTCTTAATATCTGATCTTTAGGAAAAGCTTAGAAGCTTTTCCTAACAGGTGGAGAACAATAGTACCAGAGGTTAACAAACCTTTCAAAAAAACTATCAAACAATGTTACTGGGCTACTCTCATTTTCTGTTATGTCTTCCCATGACTCGCTCTGCAGTACCTCACGGAAAAGATTGAGATTTTGTTTATTTTGTTTCCTAACAAGAACACTAGGCTGCTCAATAGATAGGCCTACATTTTGTGAGCTTTTGCAGGCAGGTCTATGGTATTTAAAAAGCAGTGGATCATGATCGGCCAAAGCGCCTTGCAAAATTGAAACTTTGTAAAAATTTTGAGAAAAATTGACTAATATGTTATCTAAACAGGCATCGTTTCTTGTAGGGAATTTATTACTACATTTTAGGTCAAGTGATCGTAGTAGGTTCGTGAAATTAATTGAGATTTGTTCCTCCATCTTGGCCATTTCAATGTTAAAGTCCCCACAGACTATGGGCACTTATTGTGACTATCATTATTGTGGTTCTGGCACTTCAACATGAAAGGAAGAGTAGCCCTCGTATTTAGTCCTAATTTGGGTACACTTGAACAATGGACATTGAGGAAAATAGAATCAGACGAACAAAGGCTAGGAATATAGTTACAATCAGTGAGGTCAAACAGTTTAAAATTACGGGACCAAAGAGGAAACATGGTAGCAATTATGATACACTTCCATATGGGTTTAAAATTCAAAAAAACTCACCAAAATCTCAACTTCTGAATCACTATCACTATCAATCCAGTCCTCCCAGTCCTCAATCTTTGTTGCCGAGTCCTTGATGACAGTTTACAATCTCTTCATTTTGCAGTGTCTCATGTCATGTAAGAGGAAGCTTGGCACTCTCGAGCTCAGAGGAGGGGTCCACCACTACAACACTAGGAATAAGCAGGATCTAGACATACCTTATGTTAGACTAAAGAAAACCCAGGCTAGTAAGGAAATCTTAAGCTTGAAATTAATGAACAAATTGCCTTGTACAGTTCGGAACCTGCCAATCACTAAATTCCAAAAGAGGGTGAGGGAGTTCCTATTGGCTAACCCACTTTACTCAATCCATGAGTTTTTTGAACTTCCTGACAACTTGTAAGTATGTTTTTTTATGAGTTTTGCAAGTGTGGTTTTATTTTATTTTCTATGCATGGAGTGTTGCAGGAACAAACAAATCATGTAATTTTTGCAATTTTTTAGTACTCTAACCTAGTATTAGTTTATTTGACTTTTTCCATACATGTATCATGTTCACGGAAATAAAGCATTTCATTTCATTTCATTCATTTCATTTCATTTCATTTCATTTCATCTCAATATCCACCTTCATTCCACCCATTTTGTGATGACAAAAATGGTTCTTTAAACTGTAGTAGTTGTAACTTAGGCTTAAATTGTAAATACACACCTAAAATACAAATTTGTATGACAATTTGACATTTGAAATTGACAAACAATAAATTCCCCAAAATCCAACCTCAAACTCACTACACTAGAGCTAGAGCTAGAGCTAGTTAGCTAAGCTAGAGCAGCAGCAGCAGCAGATCTAAAAGAGAAGAAGAAGAAGAAACGCAGAACAGAACAAGAAACGAGACGAAGGAAGGCTGAAATTTAGGTGGAGTAGAGGAGTAGAGGTAATTCAAAGAAGTCGCGGGAATTTTCAGAAGTGTAGAGGGTAAGCGACCGCACCGCGAAACACGAGACCACGGCGAAGCCCACTGAGCTAAAATTTAAAAATTATAACTGGAGGTAGCACTGCCATGGCAGAAGTCTGTCAAAAGCGAGTCGTTGATTTTGTTAGGTTGGTATAGCATAGCAGTAAGTTTTCTTACCATAGCAATAACATGGCTTCTTATAACTAGGTTGTATAGCAGTGAGTTTTTTTGTCATAGCAATAACATGGCTTCTTATGGACACCCACCTCACGCAAACATGGCGGCTGGCGACACGCATCTTTGACATTCAGTGCTACCTCCAGTTAGAATTATAGCTCAGTGGCGAAGCCACGCCCTTCTCCCAGAAGCCAGAAGGGAGGGGCCGGGACCTAGCTGACCGATTTGAGTTGTCGGTACCAACTTCATTTGATATGTGATTTAAGTGAAATGGTACCTAGGTGAAAGGTTGCCTAAAAGAAGGCCTCCCTTGCCTAGTACCCTAGGCCACTGCCGCCTTTAACACCAGGCCGCGGCCTTCGAAGTGGCAACTTCCCCAGTAGTGTTGTAACAGCTGTTTGGTTTGGAAGCAACTAATGATATTTGTGTATTTACGAAGGCTTTTTTACTGGTCTATGAAAATATTGACTCTACTTAAAATGTACACATATAGATTTTAAATTCATATTGTTTCGGTTTTCGATTCTGTATGTTTTATATTCAATCATTTAATAAATTTATTTTTATACTGACAATTTAAATTTAAATCAATAAAGTGCAAATTAATGAGCTGATTTCGCCTGTCTGCTATGTTATCTTACGGTACGTATGACCATTGACACACTAAACAACCCCACTTGTGACGTTGCCAATTCTACCAGGCCGTGTGGCCATCTGGATTTAAAGGTGGCCGTGTCTAAGCACGAGCCTACCATGTCTATTCGGTAAATCGACCCCGAAATTTATCGTCCATTTACATTTTGGTAACATTATTGTTTATTAAGGAAAACCAAATATCGTATATAGCTCTCCAAGAATCCATAGTTATCCCTTATTTCAATTTCAGTCAACAACAATTTCAATCTTACAGTACACCACGAACACGACACACAACCACTTTCTGTTAGAAAAACTTCCCTTCAATGCAGTAAAACTGTTTAATGACCTCCCTCTCCCTTTGAAAGCCGAACAGGACATCGGAAAATTCAGGAAATGTCTTAAGTCCATCTTGAGGTCTGCTACAGCGTCCGGGAACTGCTTTTGCTGGTATAGTCTTTATTGAACATCAGAAGGAACTGTGTGTCGCAACTGAACGATATGATATGTTATATATATGAGAACCATTTTCTCTCTAAAAGAGCGTTAATCATGCCGTAAATATTTTTTAAATTAAAAAAACTTTTACATTCCCATCTAAATTCTTGAATCTTTAACATTTGTCAAACATAAATTTTCTAAATTTGACTTTTAATTCTGTAAAAAACCTATGCACATTGCGCAATTCCTAAACATTCAACAACTCAAAGAATCACTTACTCAAATAAGTTTCAAGAAGCACTTACTGTACAATTGCATAACACTTTTTAATTCACTTCCACTTTCTTTTAAACTTGAACTAAACTTGTTAAAATAAAAAAAAGTTAAAATCTTTGTTGATAAAGTTTACCTGTTACAGCGTCCAATAATTTGCAACTAAAACCACTTCCAAGAATAGTGATGTAAATATTTATAATAAAACTTTTGTAAGTATATTAAGACACGTTCACTGACATCCATCTACAGACCAATCTCAATTCTATCCACTTTAGCCAAAGTGTTTGAAGATCTTTTCCTCATCCGTATTAAATATAAAGTGCCAGTTTCCATCGCTGTGCTTCACCTCTTCAATTATCGGGTTCGAGGGGGGAGTTCTTTCCAGAGTTCAGGAAATAAAGGATCTTAGTGTAATTTCCACACCAACACTAAGCCCTGAGATGAACGATGGTATCCTTAAAAATTGGGTTATCCCCACTGCATTGACCCCAAAAAAGTATAAAATCCCCGGTTTACTGGCCTCAAAATTACCCGAACTGTAAAAACTTATAAAAAAAAAATTTATCAAAACCAGAATTTTAACTAAACGGCTTTCTTTCTATTTAATCTATTTATTGAAAGTGTCAAATGCCCAAAGACAACCACAGAAGGATTCAGTGAGTAATAGTCTTCATCAGAAATCTAATAGGCTACGTGGAGTAATTATCCAAGCCTTAAGTCTTAAGGGCTCAGAAAAAAAAATAAAATAATAATCTATTTATTTACAGTACACCTCAATAAACGAATGGAACCGGTGACATAAAAGAAGCAGCCACAAAAATAGTGAACCTCGAGGCTGCAGGATTTTTAAGAGCTACTACACAGCCTAGCCACTGGGTAAAAAATGGAAAAAAAACTTTGATTTGAGGTTAGAAACAGAAACTGAACGTTGAATGAAATAATTGAAAGTCTTATATAGGTTATAGGCCAGGCCTAACTCATCCATCATTTATCTCTCACTCTCACTCTCTCTACTCTCTCTACTTGTACCATTTGAGTAACGTACTTAGGAAAGGAAGGAATAGGAGGACGGAGGACCTGCTCTTTACCTTGTTTGGCTGGACTTGTAGTGTTTTGCAAATCACTAAATTGACAAAGTTCTCAGTTGAATGTAGGCCTACATGTCTACATTAGATTAGATTTCACACAGCCACAAGACTGACTATCAGTAAGTACTTGAATTGGGTAAAATTCCACCTTGCTTTAAGACTAGCCTACACTAACTACCTTTGTATGAAAAAAGGGTGATACAAAATGCGGTAACAACTACAGGCCCATGGTCTAAGTGCCTGTAATGTCAAAGGTAGTAGAGTTGACTATGAAATTTCAGCTGGAAAACATTTTCGGGTCCAATCACCTTCTTTCATTTGCCCAGTACAAGCTTAGAAGTGGGCTTAACTTACATTGGGGAATCATCATGATTCCAGAAAGGTTGTCCTTTTCAGCTCCACCAACCTTAACAGGGAACACACCATTACTGATTCACCTCATTGACCTAACATTGGATGTTATTGAAAATTCTCCAGCCAGAATTATTCCTATGAAGATTGGACCTGACGTTGAAGACGTGCACGTAAAGCAAGAATGCTCGTCCGATGATGGATAATAACGAACAATCTGATCAATGTAATAGAAGTAAAACAGAGCTGGAGGTAAACCCAGAACACACTAAGTTTAAACAACACACTTAGGCCTATGTCGTACCGTATTAGAGTTAGGCCTAATGAAACTTTAGTGTGCAACCAAGTGACCACATTCATTTTTTCTACGCTGAAGATCACGGGTATCCTGTACAAAGCCTGACCAATCCAAACATAGCAACATAATCCTTATCCAGGGAAAATTGTAGGGAAAATTGTAGGGCATTGTAGGTTAGAAAAACTAAAAGGTGTGAAAAAAAACATGCGTTCCCTGTGAAAAATGCTTATATATGAATATAAGTACCTTCTCGTACTACATTTGAGAATCTTGTCAGTAGCATTTGGGGGAATTTTCACTCAGAGAATTATGAGTGTTGTTATCGACTCGTGCAGTCTAAAGGATACACTCATGGTAAAGTCAACGTTTATAGCTGATTAAATACAACAGAAAATGACTTGAGAGGGTTTACAAAACTCGAATGAACTCCTAAACGAAATATTGTCGCTCTGGACTGTGAGATGGTGTATACCTTTACAGGAATGGAAGTAACCAACATGGCCTTTCTATACATCTTTGGAGCTCTGATATTTGAAACACTAGTGCACACTCAAAAGAAATCGTGGATATTAACTTAAGATTGTCTGGATTCACCCCAGAGCAATGTCTACAGAGAAAAGGATATTGTTCAATCAAACATCTTTGAAATGTCCAGTCATATAAACTCGTAAACCATCATAGTCGGCCACGGACAAGTGAATGATTTGAGGCTGATATAAATAACCCATCATCTCGTGGTGGACTCGGCTACATTGTATCCTCATCCTAATGGTTTCCTGGTTCCAGTACTGCTAAAAACTTGTTAATTGGTGTCTTCAAACAAATTCAACTGGTATCTCATCGTCATCCTCACAGTCGAGCTCCTCCCACTCATCAAAACACAGCAGAATAAAAACCCAACTTAAAACAAGCAGACAGTTGCCTTAAACCAACAACACATCAGAGTAGCGTCAAATCAATACTTGATATCTCCTTCACCTTATCCAGTCAATGCTGCAGCAGCCAACTTGTGGCTACCGAGGAGGGTAGAACTATTACCAACCCACAGCTACAAACTAATCACCAAAATATCCTCACAAAATCAGGCAGGGAATTGAGGCAATGAAAAAAGGGATGAATAATCAACAAGGAACATGAAAGATGTTGCAACTAAAAGACCACAATTTTGTTAAAGTAACCGAACTAACACATTATGAAATTGCATTAAGATGTACCTGTGACTGTTGGATCTGAAGAGGCAGAGATAGATAGGAACAATAACACAGTGTTTGATAACGACAGCTTTGAAACTGTTAGTGAAGATGACAAAACTCGGGAGACTCATAAGTAAACAGTGACACAAATTGAGTGATATTTATTGCACTGATCCAAGATGAATCTCAACAAATATGCAAACTTGCCGGCTCTGAAGAGAATTAATATACAGACTCATGAAAAGTTTGATACCTGCCAGGGAGTTACAACAGAGTAGCCCTATGTGAAGATCGGGTGAACAAGTCGATTATAATACAGATAGAGAAAACACTCTTGTTGCAGAAGAAATTGAATGTCAATCAAATGATGCAATAAATATTAGAGACGAATCATAAATTGCATAGGTAAGTGGGAACTATTAATATTTTACCAACAAAAACTGCCAATGAACCGATTAAAATTTAATTACAGTTATAATGGTCTACAGATTTGACAAATCAAATGAGACTAACCTACAACTTGACTCTATAGGCTACATAGCCTCCTCTAACACAAGGCCATGGCGTTAGTGTGTGGCAACATCGCAGGATCATGCATGTTAAAAGTGTAAACATAAACATTTGCTATACTGTCTATAATGCTATAATTATGGATTAGTGTAGCAGCTGTTTCAATTTGACGGGACAGCGGTGTTGCAACTTTTGTCTTGCCGCAGCATTGTGTTAGAGGAGGCTACTTTCTCTATTATAATCAATGTTCAGAAAAATCATAACTATAAATAGCATTATATATGTATTCTAACTCTTATATTTGCTGAGCTTACTTGCTAACAATTTAGAAACATTGTCAGCACACGTAAAGTTAACTAATGGTCAGATCGGCACATTCTTCTTGTGTATTTTCAGGGTCCCCTTTCAGCCTTTGAATTCAGGATGTTCATCTTCTGTTGTCATTCTTCGGGAATCACTCTGGTGCGTTTCTTCATGACGATGGATAGCTCTTTTTAGTATTTCTACTTTAGATCCTTGATAAACATATTGAAGTTATCTTGTTTGATAAAATATTCTGTCTTTTTGAAGCTTTTTAAATGATGACGATGGTGTTACTTTTGTCTGCTTTTTCAGCGATTTGACTATTCTCTTCCGATTTCTTCTTTATTTTAATGCATGTATTTAGTTCTTTACTTTTTCTTGGATCTACGGTCCTTGGCTGGTGTGAGCATTGTAGACTATGCCATTTCTTTCCGAATTGTGTAATGATCTACATCTGTAATTGGATTTATATTTGTCTCATCCTTGGCGGCTTGTAGTTTGTTTTCGTCCATCATTGTGAAATTGTGATAATTATTTGTTTTTTTGCCAATATGAACATGTTGATAGTTTGATTTTGATTTGTAACCACATCATCTATAGCCTAATAAGAACAGTTAAAACAAAGCAAACAACACCTCATGACAGGCTCATTCAGCTACTAGTTTCATAAAAACCCTTTAGTCAGGTTTTCAATATTTTAAAGAATATGGTCATTGAACATGAAATACAGTAATAGACCTCTTCAGATTATTAAGTTAGGCTACATAATAAATACATTACATATCAGGTACATGGTGGGTAGACATTTTAGTTGACTAGTTTTAAGTAGGCTATAACATTTAAGCTGTAAATGCTATACACAAAGGAAATAAGAACAAATAGATTACTAGACAATAATAAACATGTGAAAAGCCTATATAGTATTTTAACAGAAAACTGGTTTTAATTTGGATGAAGGTACATACAAAAATTCTTGGATATTATAAAATGGCCTGGATTCTAAACAGCTGGATACTACAGCTGGTTCATACTACTCCAATTTCCAAATGTGGTAGTAGACACCTTGACACACACTTAGGAATCAGAATACACAAATATATCAGTGGACAACTTGACCAGAGTTGTGTGTTTGCAGGATTGCAACCAGCAACTGGCGTCTCAACCTAAGGATAGACTACAGTGTCGCTCAAATAAAGACAAGGATGGCTGACCCGTGCGACGAAGTCTATACTGGTAGTCCTGAACAGTTAGACATTCTCAGCAGGGGTGTGGAAATAGCACTGAGGTACAAGGAACTGCAGGCTTCCGTGGCTAAGCTGACGAGTGAGGTAAATTCAGGGTGTATATCTAGCAATCAGAAGGAAGAGTCTTTGTATAGTTATAAGTTCATGGTAGGCTATCTAATTTTCCTTGTATGCTAGCACAGCCTAAATTGTTAAATGGCGTAATCCATGCCTTTTTTTGCAATTTATTGAATAGGCCTAGCCTTATTTTATAAAAATACGGCTACTCTTTGTTTATTTAGCGAATTTCCCATATAGGGAATACTTTATTATCGTAGGTGTCATGGTAAGATTTTTCGTTTTGATTGGCCAAAAACACCACCTGTTCAAATTCATATATAGTATATGTCCGTTAGCACGATTACTCATGCAAAAATGATCCGATTTCAAAGAAATTTATTTCTTAGGTGTAAACCAAAAAACCTACATTTTGTTCTAGCAAATTGGTGAACCAGCGTTATCGGACCATGGAAACAGGGTTATATGGGGGAGATTTATAGGTTAAAAATTGGTTTTTCTTTGAGCATCAAATCATAATTAGCTTGTTTATGGATATATTTTATAAAACTTGGCAAATTTGTTTTTTTATGCTAAGCTATTTTCATTTCAATTGAATACATTTCTTTACCCTCCCTGTAGCAGCAAGCCTAAACCCAAACTAAAATTAATTTTATAAAAAAATTGACTTTTTTAAGGGAATATTTAAGTGAAAATCTAACCAGGTAAATGGAAATTTGCTTAGTCTGCAGGTTTTCTGCAGCAGGGGTATTCCAATGTATAGTATTAAAAATTTAATTTCATATGCACCGATTAAGAAGAAAATCGAAGCTCTACTAGCGTTACTTGGGTTATTTAGGTGGCGTACTTAGAAAGGAAGGTTTTCAAGCAGGACAGAGAGTGGAAAGAGAAGCTGATCATGACGGGGAGAATAATGGGGTTGCAGACGCCTCTGACACGCAATCAACTGCTGAAAGAGGTGTCCAACACCATGAGTCAGAACAAGAAACTTAAGTGCCGTGTAAACAAACTGCAGTGTGAAGTGACAGCACTTAAGAAAAAACGTCTACAGCGGTTTGTGAGTAGCCCATGTTGGCCTAGTATTGTTACTAGGTTTGTGAGTAGTTTGAGAAGACCTAGTATTGTAGCTAGGTATATGTGAGTATACCTACATAGAAGTATTAAAGTCAACATTAAAATCGACTTTGCCCTAGCCCATGTAGGCCTAGGGCGAAGGGAGCCAGATCCCCGGGGCCCGGTCAAATGTAATTTTTTCTGTTCATGTAATCTCCTTAAGTTAAAAAGATGAGTATGGTTTTCCAGTTCACTTAGTATTTAGAAATTTAGGTATTGTTATTTGTGTAACAAAACGGCACAGAGGCGGCTGGATACCACCATTAGTGCACAACTACTAATATTTGATTGATATTTGCCGATGCACGGTAAACTACTGCGCGTTTTGTTTGGGTAGAGGTTATGTTTCACAGTCAGTCACTGGATGTAAGCTCCGACTTGTATATAGTATGGTTTAGAAACCTAATTAATACATTAAGAAAATGCAAAATAGGTAGCCCGGAACCGCTCAACCCAGGGGCCCGTGACAGCTCTCGCCGGCCCTGAGTATTGTAGGCCTAGTATTGTAGCTAGGTTTGTGTGTAGCCCATGTAGGCCTAGTATTGCAGCATTGCAGCCTATGTAGGCCTAGTGTTGTAGCCCATGTAGGCCTAGTGTTGTAGCCCATGTAGGCCTAGTATTGTAGCCCATGTAGGCCTAGTGTTGTAGCATTGCAGCCTATGTAGGCCTAGTATTGCAGCATTGCAGCCTATGTAGGCCTAGTATTGCAGCATTGCAGCCTATGTAGGCCTAGTATTGCAGCATTGCAGCCTATGTAGGCCTAGTATTGCAGCCCATGTAGGCCTAGTGTTGTAGCCCATGTAGGCCTAGTATTGTAGCCCATGTAGGCCTAGTGTTGTAGCTAGTTTTAGATTCATAATCAATGATTTGTTATTCTATAAATAACGTAGGCTGCACTCAACGTGTTAAAACAACAACTACATACATAGCTGTGGTACTACTTGTATACATAGTTGTGGGCTGTGGTACTACTCGTATACATAGCTGTGGCACTTCTCATATTCAAAGTTGTAGAACCACTCTTATACACAGTTGTAGCAGTACTCGTATTCATATTTGTGTGACAAGTTGTGTGTTGTGCAGGTATCCCCAGCTAAGTTGGCGCTGCGCAAATACTTGCCACCGGAGAAGCTAGTGGCGCAAGACCAGAAAGATGCAGTACAGACTCGCGACATGGTCAGAGGCGAGATGGAGCGAATGATAGAGAAGCCCAATGAGGTTAGTTAACAAAACATGCATTTTAGTTTACTAGCTCATTTGAAATTGTATTCAATGTTAGACTATTGATGTAAGTAGAAGTCACATCCCATGTTAAAATTTCAACCATTATTTCCTTAGGAGTGACGTAGTTGAATCGATCCACCGACTGAGACAGACAAACTTGTCCAACTAAGACTAATTAAAAAAACATCCTGATACAAAAACACGTTTCGGAGGGAAGAACAACTAGTTGGGGGGTGTAATTTTTACACTAGTGTCTTTTATTTACATCAAATTTATGAGAGTCAAGTGAGGATAAGGAGAAAACCAAATGTTAACTTCTCCGTACTAATTCAACTATGTTCTATTTTAATAAAAATTAGCTCTTTTTCATTATCTAAAAGTCAATGGTGAGTATAGGCCTACCTTGGGGTTAAAGGATTTAGCATGATAACTCGACTCGAGCAATTATCATCAGATTTTGATGAAATTTTGTACAAATGTGTAAACTTGATCGGATAATGGAAACGGATGTTTATGGGGTAAAAATTGGTTTTTCTAATTTTTTAGTCACAAAACATATAATTTCCCAATTCGTCTCCAAACCATTAAGGGGCATCATATGCAAAAAAAGAATTAATTGTTTTTATTTTGGTTTCAGATTAAAGCCTGTTTGTTACTTCCTGAACAAAATGACACCTTATTAATAGTTCTAAAACGATTCCTAAATGAAACCTTACTCGGTCGTTTTTCCTTACATTTGAGTAATATGTGATCTAGTAATCTCGACTTATAAGCCCACTGAAGAGTTTTTGTAGGCTATTTGTTAAAGCAGAAGTTCAAAATCCCCATGTTATTCTTATTGTGAATACGTGAAACTGTTTTAGTTTCCTTGTTTATGGATATATTTTTATGAAACGTGGCTAATTTATTTATTTTATCCTAAGCTATTAATATTTTACTAAAAACGCATTTTATTACCCTCTTTGTAGGAGCAAACCTAGGTATGTGTTAACTTAATGTCATTTATATATATGTGAATATCCAATCAATCAAATAGAAATTCACTTATCATATCCACCATTTTGAATATGAACCTTTTTTGAGATTAAAGATTTTTTTATGACACTTTACTAATTTTTATTATTGAGTAAAAAATCTAAGGAGCTCCAAAGAGATTAAGATTAAGTTCTCTCCCTATAATTCTGTGTGTTTTCTTCACAGGATCCATGTGACAGTATCCGTGATTCTCACTGTGGATTGCGTCATTGAGGATGTCAAGCAAGAGTGTAACAAATTATGACATCAACTGATCTTCAAGAGTTGACCAAAGGAGGAGAGGTGTTTATAAAGTTTATGTTGAGTTTATAAAGTTTTTCCAAGTGTTCAATTACAGAGGTTCTTTTTTGCCGTTGCAGATACAGTTTTTTTTCCTAAAAGACCTTTACTTTACCTGATAAATGATCCAGCTTAAGTTAGGTCCGCACATGTGGCATTCACTAAGCATTGATAACAAATTTCCATCTACACTAGAGGTGAACGTCAGTTCTCTTTGTTTCTTGCTCCATGTCAGTGTTGTTATACAAAGCACTTAAATATTCCCTACCGACCCAGAAAGTGACAAATGTGGCGTCATACCAACACAAGAAGCTCGCCACTAGTCAAATAAGTTAAATCAAATTATCTTTATTCACATGTGTGGCATTTCCAGGGAGATTGTAGAGTTTTCTTTTTACATTGTATACACAGATTGATTTGGTATCTCTCTGAAGGTACCAAACACCGTGGTAAAATAGTATATAGAAGAAAACCCAACAATTTCTGCTAGAACAAAGACTCCAAATAATGTACCTTAAATAATTCAATTTTCTAGATCTTGCCACTGGGAAAATAAATAAAAATACATATTTAGTAAATAGTGTCAAATATGTCAATACATACAAGAGTGTTTAAAATGTACAAGAACCATAATATGGTTCTTGTTGTGCATTTTAAAAATCTATGTATCACACAAGGTATGTTAAAATTTGCAAAATTTCTCAAAAAGCACCCCTACCCTTGACGCGAAATTATAGGTGTGGATTGAGTTTTTTCTTGTGTAGTAAGAAGTTTTAGTGTGGAAGCGTGCATATAAATTTAGTTGAATAAAGTTCAGTAATTTAGTTTAAAGTTTCTTGTTAGTTAGTAAATATAAGTTAGGAATTGGATTAGTTTTATGTATACAATTTAGTTTAAGTTAAAAGAATAAAATGCACTTGTTTCTTCCAGTTTAGTTTTCATTCAAACATTCAATATAGTTGATTTACAATCACAAAAAATCATCTGCAGGGTTGGTACGGTCAGGGAAAACCTGGAAAACCTGGAAATGTCAGGGAATTTTGTTGGTCTGGAAAAGTCAGGGAAAAGTCAGGGAATTTTGGAAAAAATCTGGAATTTCTCTTGAAAGACTACATTTTTTACAGATATGCTACATTTTGCATCTAGGTCTCAATACTTGGTCAAAAACATCGAAGTTTGACGAAAACATCGATGTAACAAAAACATCTGGAACCTACCATCGATATAAAAAACATCGAACATTGACAGACATTCTATCATCACCCTCTGATTACTGGCTTAATTGAACGCACCGAGCTCCCAGTGTTTCTACACGACCAAAAGAATATAATCCCGGTCACTTGGTTAAGAAATCCCGTTTAATCCCTTAAGATTTTTGATGTTAAATTCTGAGTGTTGAATTGGACATATTTCGTTTAAATAGTTGTTTTAACTTTGCTATTATATTTTGTTAAGGTAATTTTTTCGATTGGGGTTAGTTTTTCACTAAAATAAAAGCATAGTAAATAAAAACGGACGTCATAGCCAAAACTCCTGTTTTATCCCACATCCCCTTCAAATCCCGCTCATGCTCTAAAAATCCTGTTTTCGGGATCTTATCTTATCTTATCTGTCAGGGGCAGGTCTTTAAGAGACCTTTAAGCACTTCATCCGAAATTGAATTATTTGGGGTGCGCAATAATTGCTTTCTTCTTGACCTACAAGTTAAGGCGCCCAATGAATGCCTGTAGCTTCCCAATTAGTTCATCCTCAGGAAGGTATCTACCTCTAGCCATATTTCCAAGAGTTATCGATCTAGCGTCAAAGAGCTCGTTACAATCAAAGAGTAAGTGATCAGCTGTCTCTTCTGACCTATCACAGTACCTACAGATCGGTTCACCATCATATAAGCCCATCCGTTGTAGATCTTTCCTGAATCTTCCATGACCAGTTATCAGTTCAACAATTAATTTAATTCTTCGTCTGTCTAGTCTCAAGAGGTCACAGGCAACCTTTTTAGAAGGCCTAAACAGAGTAAGCTGGCTGACCCTAAGAAGGGGAACATCGACCCAGCGTTTGCGATGCTTTTCCTTGGCCCATGACGCAATCGCAGAACATGCACTGTTTCGTGAGATGCCACAGAAGGGTTGTGGGCCTATCATTGAAGTCGCAGAGGCAGTATTTGCCAATCTGTCTGCAGCTTCATTTCCTTTAATGCCTGAGTGTCCTGGCACCCAGCAAAGCGTAAGGTCATTTCTCCTACCCAACTCAGACACAGAAGCAAAACAATCCCACACGAGCCTGGAGTTGAATTCGTAAGAGTTTAATGCTTTTAAGGTCGCTTGACTATCAGTATAGATATTGATTGTTGTGTCTCTGATATCTTTGTTAAGATGTTCTTGAGCACAAACTAGAATGGCAGTGACCTCCGCTTGAAAGACAGTTGGGTACACCCCCATTGGAAGACAAATGCCAGTGCCTCCATTCATCCAATGCACACCTACTCCAGTGCCCCCATTTTTGATCTTAGAAACATCATTATAGCATTCTAAATCACCTGTGGGTATGGGTCCTTTTCCGCCAGACCAATCCTTCCTATCTGGTATTAGTACTTTGAAAGGCTTTCCAAAGGAGTATTTTTTGGACATGTGATCTGAAGGCAAGTGCAATTCATCATTATGTACCACCTGAACAATTTTGGAGTGCCCTTTATTGTTTCCTGAGGTTATCCATAAGTATTCGCATCTAAGGCGTTGGGCTGTTTTACTTGCTACCACCTTGATGTAAATGTCGATAGGTAGCATATCAAGCAGACAGTCAAGAGCCGCTCCAGGACAGCTGCTTACTGCCCCAGTTATCATTATAAGAGCAAGCCTCTGAACTCCTGCTAAAGCTTTGACAGCTATAGTAGATTCCATCTTTGGCCACCACACGAGCGAACCATATGTAAGGGCGGGTCGAACAACAGATACATACAGCCAGTGCATAAAAGTTTAGGCTGTAACCCCCATGTGCCACTTACCATCCGCCTGCATGCCATAAGGGACCATTTGCCCCGCTCAGTGACTTTTTGAAGATGTGGTCCCCAGTGAAGTGATCTGTCCAAAATTACACAAAGATACTTCACCTGATTCTGCAGCTCTATTACAGTGCCCTGCAGTCTTAGTGGGCCGATCCCATCCAGTTTCCTCCTTCTTGTGAAGGGTACTATTACAACTTTCCTGGGATTTATAGAGAGCCCATCTTCCTGGTACCAACGGTCCACTACCCTTAAAGCTCTATTCATAAGGTCAGTTATGGTTCCGTGGAACTTTCCAACCACAAGGATTGCAACATCATCAGCATAACCTAAGGCGAAAACCCCACTTTTGTTGAGTGTCCTTATAAGGTCGTCTGCTACCAAATTCCAAAGGAGAGGAGAGAGAACCCCCCCCCCTGAGGGCATCCTCGAGTAGTTCTTGCCTCGATCGTGTCATTATGGAGTGAGAGCCTAACCTTCCTACTGTGAAGCAAGGATTCAATCCATCTACATATTATACCGTGAAAACCTCTTCCTCTCACCGCATTAAGAATTGCTGGAGTACCAGTATTATCAAAAGCACCTTGAATATCGAGAAAGGCACCCAGGGCCACTTCACTGCTCTCTAGAGCTTTCTCAATCTTGCTTACAAGTTGGTGCAACACAGTCTCGCATGATCTTCCTGAGACATACACATGCTGATTATTATGAAAAGGATGTGTCCTAAGAGCTGTATCCATCATATATCTTGAGACCAACTTTTCTAGGATCTTAAGGAAGAAAGAAGATAGAGAAATGGGTCTAAATGACTTAGGATCAGTGTAACTATCCCTTCCTGGTTTAGGAATAAATGCGATACGTGAATTACACCACCCTAAGGGAATGTGTCCTAAGGCTAAGCTGGCTCTGAAAAGTTTTCGGGATAAGTTAATAATCCCACGTATGGAAACACTGCTAGTACCGGGATGCGCGGAAGGATAGGCCTACATTCATCGTTTCAATTTCAATACGATACTGAATACAATTCCTCATTGAATTTATAAAAAGAGAAAAGAATTTATTTATAAAAATAAATACATCTGCCTTAAAAAATAAGGTTGCCAATGACACAGAAAAAATTATACAAGATAAAATTGTATAAGACTGATTAATTTTGATGTTTGCCATATAGATGATTTCTCATTATGCTCAATGAACCTCTTAATGTTTCATGAGTAATAATTTTCAAAAAGGATCTGTCCAAATCATATTGTTTCCAAAAGTTCACAAAAAACTTTGATAATGTTCCTCTTGAACCAATAAACAATCCAATCACCTCAACTTTCCAAATTTTAAAATTTTGCTTGAAATATTCAAAGGTAGGATCATATTTTTTTTTCTTTTCTTCATTTACTTCGTTAGGTTGATTTATGTTTATTTCAAATCGAATTGTTGAATCGAGAATTATGCCTTTGTTAGTTTCTCTTTCTATCAATAAAATATTTACTCTTCTGGTGCTTCCTTTAGAAGAAAGACAGTGTACTTCTTCTTGCACTTCCCATGTGTTATACCTTTTTCGGAAGGCATTTGCTATGATACTTCTTATTTTGTGATGCCTAGTGATTCTTAGAAGTTCACCAAACGGACAGAAGCCAAGGGCATGTGCAAGGGTTTCAATCTCACCACAGGCATGCCTGCAGCGGTTATTGCCCTGACTTCTGCTGTGGAGAACACGCACTGGCACCACATTTGCAATCATTTTTATACTATCTTTCCACTCAGATTCTGACAAGCCTTCTTTATTAATAATACTTTTATTTCCTGGAGTATAGTCTTTGAAAAGTTCAACACCTTTACCCTTTCAATACTGATTCAACCTTTAATAAACTAAAAAAAACTGCACTTGTAGGAGTTTATAAAAAAAATGTTATCCTGTTAGTTGAAACATTTAATAGTTTAGTTTGGTATTACTTTTTGTCTCCGGTACAAGCATGGTAGTTATTTTTCCTATATCACATGTTTCTTCCGATATAAGCCGATGATATCGCAAGCAAAATATCGATATATATATCAGTATCAGAAGCACCGTATCGTCT